GTCCGGCGATGGAGCATCTCCGTATTTGCAGACATTGCATTTCGCAGAAGATTCAGGGTCGAGAAGAGTGCTGTCCGGAGAACAATATAGTGAAGAGAAGGACAAGGAAATGCCGGAGATTCAGCACCGCGTCACATTGCATCTTCTCCGAAATAAAGCACGCGATCGTGGACTCGTGCACAGCGTCACTCTCGCGCCATCCCAGTATTGCGATAGGTCTTTCGACCGCAGGAGCGCCCTTTTCTTATAGCGCAGTGAATTGTGAGCTAGAAAGGACCGGTAATTGTCGGTACAAACATGCCGTTCGTGACCTGTTCAAGATTGAGGACGCAGGATATACTGCCAAACACGACGGGATACTACCCGCTGCCATACACCTCATGCCTGGGGAGTTCTGATGAGTCTCGCCATGCGAGCACGACGAATCCAGACAGACCCACTTGAGCTCCACCGTCTACCGCAGGCAGAATATCTCCGGCGGGTGCAGGATCAGCAGCCCACCCCTCGACCACGACGCCCGTCAACTTTGACACTTTCTTCCATATCTCGCGAAGCTGTTGTTTTCCCTCTCCTGTCATGCGCATATCCTCCGGTCGTCGTCTCTCCCGTCGATGTGGTCCGACCAGTACTTGAACCGGTCCAACGTGCAGACCACCCTCTCATGATCCCTCAGCTCGTCAGGAGCTTCAGGAACACCGGCACACGGACGTCGCGCCCCGTGCAACCCTCGGAGAGCATCTGGGCAAAGACGCCGAAGGGTAGCCAGGGTGTTCGCCTGCATGAGATTCGCCCGTCCCAAGGAACACCGACCGATGTCCTTTGGGGAGAGCTTCTCGGGTTTGCCGTCCTCGTGCGCGAAGCCGTGAACGAGTTCGGCTGACCTGAAAATGCAGCAGCCCATCAGGGCGGTGGGAAGGGGACTTCAGTACTTGTCATGCGGACGATGTTCATCGCACCGATGGAATGGATCCCTTGAAGGCAGGCGGGCGGGGAGGATCAACCCGCGCACACATGTCGAGGTTCTCAACGAAGAACTTCTTCAAGTCATTGCCCCCGCGCCGAACGACGTAATTGATCTCGTACTTATGCCCAAGCCCGACGCACGCAGATACTGAATTGGAGGACAAATCGTCTAGAGCCACGCTGGAGAACAGTATGACACCAGTCTATACAAAAGAGAATAAGGATAGGCTGAACGCACCGTGGCATCTCCCCAGGGAGCACGGCGCAGGACATGCGCCTGAGGTCTTTCGATGAGTCAGACCCATGCACGACAGCAGGCTTGGTACCACATGTCCACTGTGAGCTTCATGTCCCTTCCGGCTCCGGCTGAGGTAAGGAGAGCATGTCCGTGAAGATGGTGAAGACGGGTCAATTGGCTACTAACGGTCCCTTGTAGATGCAAAACTCGACGTCGCTAGCGATGATCGTCAAGTTACCGTCCTCCAGGCAATGTTACAGTTCGCATTGAAGCAGATTATGCGCGATATCTTCCGTCGGCTTTGTAGTTGCTGGAGGTTCAGCCGGACTTGGATCATCCGGCATTAGTGAATTGGAGGAGGCTTGTCCGTCGAGGCCGGGTCTCTGTACCACGGCTGACATCGCTTGTGAGTTATTGTCGACCATGTGAAGTGAAATATACGGACAGTTCCTTAGACGATGTAGATAGAAGGATCACAGGCGTTTTTCAGTGTCCCAACACTGTGAAGAGAAGGAATCTGTCAATCGCGGCGGTCCGGAACGGTAGTCCTAGCAGGAGCCAAACCTTTCTGGAGCGCCGCCGGGCTGCTGGAGGAAATAAGCATAACGTCGTATTAGACGCTGTCGGTACATGTCCGAGTGCCACAAGGCAACCGGGCGTACGTCCAAGTTAACAATGGGATCTTCCATTGTGCATTAGCCGTATTCCTTCAAAGTCTTGGTAATCTCCATGGGAGGCGGCTCACTGGTGGCGGAGATCGACGCAGTGTAACCGAACACCGGGCATGGGAAACGCCGGCCACTGAGGATCACGACTGTCATACCGAGCATGGAACCCGGGAGCTTCTCAGTGCTGAATTGGTAGTCAAAGCAAGGTGTCGTTATTGCCGATCTCCATACTATGGAAGAGGGGAGAACAAAATCTACCTATTTAGCAAACGGCGCATTCACACGAGCCCGGCAGGAGCTTATGTGTAAAATTTGCAACATTTTGGCCTTAGATAACATCCGCCAACATCGCAATTCTGATCGAGTAACATCGAGGTGTTAGTCATGGCCTAGGAACCTCAGCGGCTGGTACGTGAGTTGTACGTTGAACCACCTGCATGGAAGTGATCAGCTCAGCCCCCATAATATACAAATCTTGCCAATACGACGCATGCGCGAAAGAACAGAACCTACAAAGGATGTCTTCTCGGAAATTCTGCAGGCTCATCGTCTCAATGATGGGCGCTGTGACCCCGGGCTTGTTCTTGATTCAGGCCGCCGAGATCTGGGCCATGCTTACGCCCTTCTTCGCGTGCTCCTCTGCAGAGCAGAGATGGCAGCTCAACAGCGTTGTCCGAGGTCGCAACACACTTCGAAACATACTCGGTCGGATGGAGTCGTAGGGGTCCAACAGGTGTGTGCTGCAACTCGTCAAGTTAGAATTAAGGAAAGGATAGTGACATAACCGATGATTGAGGTACTGACCTATGTCCCATGTGTCTCAACGTAGCGGAAAAGCGTTCGTGGGCCAACAACCAAAATCATCCAAGAGATGATCGTCAAGCAAGCCTACCGTAATACTCATGTCAGGAAGTCTGTGTCGGTCGAGACATGCTGAACTAAGTTTGAGCATTGGCATAGAGGGGCGGCGGTGGACCGCTGACGGCCGACAGTGCGGCGAATGTAGGCCCGCCAAAACGATGTCCATGCCGAGAACACTTTGCGGTATGCGAGGACAAGGAATGACAGCGAAGCACATGGAGCTGGATACGCCCTCAGAGGGCACATCGCATGATTACGCCTCCATTAGGTGGAACGATTGGGCTCAGTCTACGCAGTATGATATTCAATAGATGCAATAAACGCTAACCTGTCCGTCGTGAGTCGTGAGGTGAGATTTGCTGCACCATAATACCCCCATGGACGTTGGAGCCAACGGCACAAGAGTAGCAAACATACGCGGGGACAGACGAGACGTTGTATAAACTTGGTGTACAAAAGGCAGACTTCTCGCTGTATCTATGAGGCAGATCACTCATCAGCTTGCGGCAACCAACGCCGATCACAAGACGTAGCATCCCCCGCTCACAAGATTTAACTCTTTAGTCGCCTCGTGGGAGGTCCAAATGTTCAGGACCGAAGCTGTCAGGAAGCAGTTCTGCAATGCTCGTTTCTTTTACGCCACCGGTGACGTCTCCCTCCGCAACCCGCTTATCATAATCCGCCGGGATGAGGAGGATGGGCATGCTTTGCGCGCAGAATTCGCGGATCACTTGGCGGCACATGCCGCAAGGCGAGATCGCGGATGCAACGTCGCTGTGGACAGGCATCAGCGGGGCGTACGTGTATTGACCGAATGAAAAATGTCCGCACCTGACAACAGCGAGGGCAGTGAACGAACGGTTGCCTTCACTCTGTCGGGGAGTATGAGCCGCTCAGGCTCACGATACAGAAGTCGGACTCTGCACGCACCACCGCCTTCACGAACGCGGTTCTTTCCGCACAGATAGTTCCACCTGATCACGACTGTCAGCTGGATTCCGTGATGTTTTCTCTCATTTACTTACCATAGGATGCATTCTCAATGTTTGCTCCTTTGATGATGTCGCCAGTGGTTGTCAGGAGGGCCGCACCCACGCGAAAGTTGGAGTATCTCGCATACGCAAACTCCTTAGCTGCGTTAGCGCAGGTGCTTCAGAGATAAGCCAATTACACGAGACAACGTCACGTTGCTAACACACCTTCAATTGTGGCCTTGATGAGTCGACTCCTGTCGTCTGGATGTATGGAGAATGTGTTGACAGACATGGTGGTCGAAGTAGGAAGTCTGCTCGGTCCAGGAACGTTGATAGCGCCTATCTCTCCATTTTCTGAAACTATAGGGCTTCCCGAAGTTCACAATATGCCTGTCACTAACACGCGTCTCCGCAGGATTATTGAGGCATAAGAGGCAGAGGAGTTCTTGAATGCTGATAATGGCAATATATGTTCTCCTAAATAGCTGTGAACGGTTGTTCAGGGCTGAGATAGACGGAATGTGCAAGGACAAGGCAACCCTAACCTGAGGTATGTGGGATCCGGGAGCAGCCGAGCGTGGTAAAACGACGTCGGGAGAGGTCGTCACTGTCCTGGCCGACGGCCCCGTCATTCCCAACAGCGACCTCCAACCTCCCTCGTCTTCGCGCCCTCTTTACCATGGTGCGCCCATTTGCCGCCCGCCTGGCGCAGGCCATACGCCCTCGTCGCGCCCCTCAGTCCCACCCTCCTTTGCACCAGCAACAGCGCTTCGCCTCGTCGACCCCAAGCACGGAGGAGCTCCAGAAAAAGGCCCAGGACGCCCTTTCGTCCGTCCAGAAGGGTTTGGGACAGGCGTTGGAGACTGGAAAGAGGTTCCTTGGTCCTGTTGGAGAGAGGGCGGGTACTCTGCTTGGCTGTACGTGGAAGTCTATTCTCGCATCATCTTCGCATTTTCCTGTGTGCTGGCTTCAAGTGTACCAGCTTGAAGCAATTGCGCGCAGAATATGTCGAGAGGGCACATTTCATTTCATACGTCGTGTACGAGCTAGGAGTTGACACTTCGTCAATGTTTCTGTAGCTTACCGTGAACCTCTGGCGTACAACTTCGCCGTCTTCCGGGAAGTCCTCAAGCAGGTCTACATCGCTGAGCGCCTCCAGCCTCCTCCCCTCTCCGCGTTCCAGTCCGTATACGCGTCACTATGGTCTCGCGCGACCAATCTCCAGTTCTACCGCGAGCTCCTGCGCTCAGGTGACCTGGCCAAGGTTGGTATCTATGCCCTTGAGGCATACGGTATCTTCAAGGTGAGTTGGCATCCCCGCGTTTGTGGAAGAAGTGTGCTGAAGGGTCCTGCCCAGGTTGGAGAAATCATTGGCCGGAGAAGTCTCATCGGGTACAACATCCAATAGACTCGCTGCACCCGTTTCCGATGAACATGTAGACCTTCTTAATTGGACTATGTAACTTGAACATGCCGTGCGTCAGCGTGAAACAAGTCCAATGCTTGCATCTTCGTCTCGACTACATCCATATGGGAAACGAGGGAAGTGGCCTGTCAGCGTCCTGGTACGTGGCACATATACAATGCGCATCTTCCTCTTTGAGGGGAATGTGAGTGCCCCTTCAAGTAGTTTTGCACCATTGCTTCGTCTGCCCTCGTCTCTCAAGCTTTTAAGCTCGAACTTCTTTCTCCCATCCGGCGTCTGGACGATGCAGCCGTCCCCTAAAAAACCTCAAGCCGGTGAAGTATCTGTACCGAGTAGGATGCATTCCACAATCACATTGCTATGTGCGATATTTACCGGAAGGGCGATTCGCAGAGGACGTCAAGGTTTTGTAAGCCAATAACGTTCGCGAAGTGTTGTCCCTCGATAATCAGCTACAAAATCTAGACAGCCGAAGCGATGTACGAATGCGCGGACGCGGTAGTTTGTGATTTGTAGCGGCGCGGGTCGCTTGCAGACCCGTTGTGGACGTCTGGCGCCCGTACCGGGCTGATGACTGGCCGTGTGCCACACAGTACTGTTCAACTTGCTGGCAGCTGTGGCCTCCTAACCATCACGATATACCAGTGCTAGTGTCTAGCGTCATACGCCGACGCAAGTATCCCATCTTGCGACTATCTCATGGCCTCTACTGATACAAGTCACGTTCTAGACCAAGTCAGAGCCAGACAAACCGCGATGATGAGTGTATGGAACAAGATCCCCTTCCCAGCCATCGCTGAACACTTGCCCGTTACGGATCGGAATGTCCTCGCTGGGCTTGCCACTGCATCGGACGTCCATGCTTGGACCATAGCCAAGGTGGACGAGTACCGCAGGCTCGCCTTCGTGCTTCTTTCCATATACAATGTTGCCACCCCCATTCATCGACTCCCCACCGAAATCCTCGAGCAGATCTTTGAACGAAGGTGGGACAACCGCGCTCGCCTGCATCTCTCCCACGTCTGCCGTCGATGGCGCGACAATCTTCTCCCTAGCGCTCGATTCTGGGCAGGCGCATTGGAAAGCGAAGAGTTCGACGTGTCACAGGCCATCCCGCCATATTTGAAGGCCCTCCTCTCGCGCGCCAAACATAATCCTCGTGGCATCAGTCTTCGCTTCTGGTCGTTCCCCCTTTGTGTCGAGTCATTGACCTTGTACTTTGACCGGCTGGTGTTGCTGCAGGTCGCCGCAAACGAGGACGATCTACCCGACGGGCTATGGCCTGCGCTTCGTTCGGGAATGCCGCGTCTACGGGACCTATGCATTCAGGTATTGGTCACAAGGCGGGGATTGGACGAATGCTCTGACCCAAACAACTATAGTCGGTGGGCCTGGTTTTACGATCCGTACGAGTGCACGGGATGGAGCAAGCCTTCCATGTTGTCCGCTGACCATCTCCCCTCACTCACTCGGTTGACCTGTCCCCCTAGTATCCTCGGACACTTCTCCGATATCCTCTTCAGACATGTGAAGCTACAGTGGTGGGAGCTGGTGGTACCTGACCACATCAAACAGCCATACCACGAATGGATCGAGACGCTCCGTGCTCTCGTGGATCATGACGCTCTAGAGACATTAGAAGTCATGCCATGGGATTTCGCTGCCCAGATTCCATCCCGGACTTTTGCTCCTGCGACATTCCCTCTTTTGCGTTACCTTCGCATCGAAAACAATTTTGCTCAGGAGATTGTCCAGTTGATGACCTTGCTCCTCTTCCCGGTCACCACCCGCATCCATCTCGTCAACAGCTCGTCGTCCTACGATCCTAATATCTCCGAGCTCCTCCCGCAAGAGGATGATGCAAAGCTTCGCGCGATTGTGGGAGCCGTCGATTGCGTGCACATCGAACAGGCGCAACTCGTTGACACTAACACTCCCGATTCCTACCGAAACTTCTACTTCATCCGATGCTACGCTGCCGACCTCGAACGTCTCCGCATGGACAAGTGCACCTTCTCTCCGGATGGTTTGATCGATGTCTTCCGCGATCACGCGCGGGTCACACGTCTGGTGCTCAGCCTCGAAGAGAGCGGCGTTCCCCTAGACTTCCGCGCATTCCCGCAGCTGGAGGACCTCGACGTGAGCGGGCCGTACGTGGACTATACGCTGGATCTGCTGCGACCGATCCAGTCGAGCCGAACAGAGCGACCAATGAATACCATTTGTCCTTCTCTGGCAAGGCTCGTTGTCCGTCTGCGAAACCCAGTCTCTCCAAAGGAGGCGTCTACAGAGTTCGAGGATGTTGTTTCAGGAGACCGGTGCTCTGGCCTGCGAGAGGTCCTTGCGCGACGTGCGACTCCGTACCGAAACCGTCTCTCCTATTTAGAGATCAATCTGCCCCCGCTCAAAGAGTCGGGACTCGGTCGCTCTATCTCTCGGACCACTATCAGTGGTCTGCGAGTGCTGGTCGACGGGCCCGTCATCGTGAAGTCCGGCGAATAATCCGGATACGACCTCGTCCAAAAGAATTTAGGGTACCGTAATAGAGAGTATCCCACCACCAATGTCGACGATCGCTATTGTTCAGTAACATTAGAGCTTGCGGATCCAGTTTGATTATATGATAGCACAACAGACAAAGAAGAGTATATCTTGCGTCCATTCAGAACACGGGGAGCGCCATGACATCCCTACTTCGCGTGCACGGTGCTTGAAACCTCGGTCTTGATGTCGAGCACAAATCCCCGCGCGCCCTTTTTCAGAGCCTCGGGCAGCAGTTCACGTCCAAGACAAACACGCCTACGTCGGGATCTTGGCGCGCACGTTGTCCTTCCGATAGCACTACACCGTGGCGCGCGACCTGCGCCATCGAGTAAGGGCGCATGAGCTGCGCGAACCGTGTCCCGCAGGTTGGTTCCCAATCGCAGCGAATACTACTGCAGTCATTGGAACTAACGGAAGGAAATGTTTTTAAAAAATGAAGTCGCTCGGGAGGAGCCCCTCTAGATCGTACAAGATTATGCGACAATGGTGATGTGATGCATGTTGACGTAGGGATCCGACGCTGTGGCAGGCTGTCCTTCGCAAATGGTGATGGTGGAGGTAGTCGATTTGCCTTCCATAGTGGCAACTTGTGGTATCTGCAAGCCCTCACCGATTGTGTGGGCCTTCTCTCTTTCCCGGCGCGCACCTGGCGTTGCAGAGCATGGGTCGATGGCGTGATGCAAACTTGGTAGTCGTATACGACTGCGAACTCGATAGTGTGCTGTAGATCACGTTATAGATTCTACAAGGGTCGCACAACCAGATGTTGAGCATGGGTCACCGGGTGATCCAAGTATGACTCCTTGCCTTCCGGCACGTCAGAATGTCTCTGGGGTCGAGCTTCAACAAGACTCTTCTGCGGTAAGTTTCTCAGAAAACATTCCGTATGACTGGCTAAAATGACGAGTATATTTATAGTGCCGCGGCGATGTCGGAGTGAAGACCGGCGATGCGGTGTGCATCTCAATACCGAATGCCGGGCTGCTTTCGTTGAGATAGCTTTCGAACTGGACTGCCTAAAAAAGCGTGATTGTGCTACAGAGCAGGACATCGTTGCAAGGACGGGAGGACCGCAAGTTGGGAGGACCGACACGACAGCTTATACCGCCGCACGGGCCAGGCTAACACGTGCCACCAGCGCTTCCTTTGCCCGAGGCCCATAAATTTGCGCTTGCGTCTTCTCAATCTCTCAACTCATTCCGGACTCGCACTATTGTCCCCCTGCGACATAGCCTTCTTTCTCGCAGGAGTCTACCGCAGGTCCCAGACGGAGATCATCCGCCCCAGCTGGAGCGCACGCTATCCTCGGGAACGTCGGACACGACGAGGACGTGCTTTTCCTTACCAGGGGTGGGACACCATTTCGATGTCATTCTGCGTTCTCCTTCGCTTTCTCATCTACGTACGCTCGGTGTGGTACACATTCAATCAATAGCGCTTGAAGGGCTTGTAACGCGATAGATGAACAGATCACACCCCATTAGGAGGCAAGGTGCGGTAAGCCGCGCAAGGACGGCCAACCTTCGCTCTCTGCTCGCCAGCCGGTCAAGCGCCGCAGTTTACGCTGAACACTGCATATGGCTGCTAGTATCAAGCGAGGTCAACCGTACGAGTAGTGAGATTGTTATATGTTCAAGCTATGTAATGCTAAGATGCATGCCTGCCGAATCATAGAAAGACCGTTGTAACGGACCCTCTCGAGTCTCTGACCCATCACGATGCATACGGCATCAAAGTGCAGCGACGAGAGCGGTTGACGGGTCCAAGTCCATGGACAATCAGGCTGGCGCGCCTCCGTAGCTGGCGGGAGGTGCGTCTTGAGCTTGACAGATGGGTGCGCCCGCCGACGTATACCAGGTATCGAGCTTGGACCTCTGGCGTGTCCTATGTGTCGCAGGCGGGGAGCCGTCGCCCACTGTGGGTGTCGCACCGTTGTCTTCAGCGTGGTGCCGCGGACGCAAGGGTTGATCGCTGCTTGGGACGATCCGTCCGCGACGTCATCTGCATCGGGGAGTTCCAGCCGCTGGTTTATCAGACGAGACGCGTCCTTTATCGACCGGCGAATGAACGAGTAATGGTCACTGGTTTACGCAGTAAACACGAGCGGCGTCCGAGGATCTTCTGGATCGCTGTCGCGCGAGGCGGCGAAGGATCCAGAGGAGGCTAACGGAGGGGCACCGATGAGCTTCACATGACGAGGCTCAGACGAGCCCTGCGGCGCTTGTAGACGACCGGCTGCTTGACGGTCTCGATCGGGCCGTCGACGTAGTCCGTCACGCCGAAGGCGATGATGACGATGGTCTTGACGACGTTTTGCACGGTCGTTTGTTCGAGTTGGTGTCCAGAGTCTGAAGAGCGCGAACTGCGAACTGAAGCTACTCAAGTGTCAAAGCAAACTCGGAATCGCCGTTGGCGTTCACAGTTGCTGCAGAGGGGCTATGAAGGCCGCGTCGAGGAAGGTAAATACGCTCAGGCCGCATGACGCAAGTATAGTTGCTACTCAGTGGAGAGGGTTTCGTCAGATCCCAACGGCTTCAACTTTCCTGAGAGCAAGTTATGGCTTAGGAGCACAGTGGCCGGGAACAGCACTGAACCGGACTAACAATCGGCCATCGTAAAGCCACCATCGCGAATGATAATACCGGCGATCCTATAGACGTACATCCAGAACGGAAGCGCGAAGGACAAAGTACAAAGAGCCTATACGCGAAATGCCAGAATTGCTAAACAAGACGGCCGGGTGTTCTGCGCCGCGCACAGTCGTGGCCGAATCATGAAACATGACGTGCAGATCATGAACGACTATACGAACGAACTAATCGTCCACAACATCAAGGAAGACAAGGAAGAGCTAACGTACAATCAAACCTAGACATACATCCTTCCGGGTCGGACCGAGACGACAAGACACTTGCATATCACAAACCCTCCGTGAAACGACTCTGTTGGCCAGCTTCTGCAGAATCTCCCTCATGCTCATGCTCAGCGGCCCCCGCGCCTTCGTCGTCGTCCGCAGGCCCCGGGCCAGGCGTCGAGGCGTGGGCGGGTTGTCCCTCGGGCGCCTTCTCCTGGCGGCGGCTCAGGCGGCGATTCAGGCCTGCGCCATCTTTCTTGTCGACCTACGTGCACCACCATCAGCGGACGGACGACGAGGCCCAGCAGTCAAGAAATTGCGCACAGGGTAGCCGTTTGCTCCATTATCGCGCGCGGAGACCGCCGGCCCATGCGAATACTCCGGGGGTCCTGTCTCCTCGCCTTCGCCATCGGCTAGGTCTCTCGCCTCGACGTAAATCGCGTCATCGTCATCGTCCGCCTCTTCTTCGATACTGCTCCCTTCTTCAGTCTCCTCACCATCGTCGTCGCTTGTATACCCCGCAGCGCGAACGGCTGCTAAAACAGGACCGTCGCGCTCCATCTGCTCGCTCGCGACGAGATACCGGGCGCAGAGCATCCGTATGTCGTTCCACCACTCCATCATATCATCATGCGAGCGTGCGCGGAACGCCCATGCACGGCCGGTGCTGTGGCCCCTGCCGATGAGCGAGTCCTTCATGTGGCGGAACGAGCCCGAGTTCGTCGCACCCGTGCCGTCCTTGCGCTCCTCGATGTGGAACTTGTGCGACTTGGCGGACGAGGGCGAGGGCGGGCCGAGGGTGCACAGAGGAAGGAAGAGCGAGAAGAGCGGCTGGTGTCCGACGGCGGGGTCGGACGAGGCGTACTCGTGCAGGAAGCCGGCGGCGGTGAGGACGTAGTAAGACTCCCTGTACGTGCGCGTGTAGCGCTTCTTACGCTCGAGAAGGCCGATGTGCACCGGGAGCACGCTCGGGTCATCCTTGCTAGGGTACGTAATGGCTTGTGGGTCACGCAGAGGAGTTTCGGGGTCGACGAGGTGGTCTTCACGCGCGGCGAAGGTGATCCACTCACGGTCTGGAGGGAGCGCGGACATGTCGGTCTGGAGATGGTTGAAGAGCTCGCCGATGCTGTTGTCCATGCGCGTCCGCCACTCGGAGAACGTCGCCCACGCGGACTGGATCGCCTGTACTAGAGATGCCTCGAACATAGCCGAGGACGCCTGCGTGAGGAGCAGCGACTTTTGGAGTGCATTCTCAGTGTGGACCTGTTTCACGAGCTGGCGGAAGACGGCTTGGTTGGCGACGTATGGATCCGTCTTCGCGGTGATATTGAGAGGGGTGTTCTTGTAGATGGACACATTGGTGCTAAGGTCTCCGATGAGCTTGGCAGACAATTCGCGCTCCTTCGCGACTGCCGTTGCGAGTTTTCCGGTATCATTTTGGATATTCTGAGAATGAAGGTTCAGTACGCAATGCATATTCATCAACGATGCGTTGTGGCGAGCTAGCGCAGGACGACTTTGAACTAGGATGCTTCACGATCTCCAACCACCCCCCGCTGCGCCGCTTACACCATACGGTGCGCTACAACGCACCTCGCAAGACACCGCCAGAGGAGATATAGGATATATCTCACCTTTATATGCGCCTTGATTTCTGCCTTAAGCTTCTGGAGGTGCTGCACAATAGACCCGTCGACTGTGCGACCCAGATTCGCGTGCTGGTCGGCAATCGCACGCGTCTTGTCGCGAATGCCGTAGAAAATGTCCTACATCCGAATGCGCACATTGAGTAAGATCTCTGGTACGAGAAGGACAGAGACGCACCTGGAGACCGCCCTCACCCAGGAACTGATTGCCAGACCGGAAGGGGACCTGGATGATGCCCGCGAGTTTGGTCATTTCGCGGGCGATATTGTTCTCTATGTCTGCAATTCCCTCAAAGTAGGAGATGAGCTGCTTGACGATGGCCTTCCAGGCGGTGAAACGCTCGATGAGGATGTCGGAGGGGCGGAGGTCGTGTGCGGCGATATTCTTCTGGATGAGGGATTGGCTGCGAGAGATGGTCGAGCCATGTCTGCTTGCTCTGCTCGCTGGGCGCGAGAGAGAGGTGGCGCGGGAGATAGAGACGGGTTCGTTCATGGCGGTGGAAAGAGTGTGGGGGGAGAAGGGACGGAAGTAGTCGCATATATATTCTGTAAGCGTCGATGGCGGGCGGAGTCGACATCATTGGCGCCTGCTGTTCTCTGACGTCATCTTCTCTGGACCGCCAACTCCAGACTGACAAGTCCGTCGGCCGCTTTACTCGTTCAATCATCGTTTATAGTAATGCGAGTACATGCATAGATGAGCCTCTCTTACACGAAACAGGTCCCTCAGAAGAGGCTCACAGGGTCAACATATCTAGATGAGACATGCATCGCGCACAGAGGCGTCCACGATGTTCCGAATACGCCTTGGGCTTAGCCTTCATACTTCCTAGGCACGCAAACAGATCCGTCGGAGTGCATAAATATAACACGTCTGCTATCAACTCATCATGCATCTTTCCCCACTGATCTTCGCACTGTATCCGCGCAGTGCAAGAAGAAAGGAACTGTTGCCTCGTCTTCACGCGTAAGCTGATCCACCATTGTCCCGCCGACTTGGGGAATGCTTCGAAACACTTAGCGTAGTCCTCGTCAGACAGCTTCTCGACTGTCCCATCCTCGCGCGTAGCACCGTTGCGCAGGTACAGTGGTCCCTCGGTGCAGCACAAGTACAGTGCTCCAAGCGGGATCTCCGGCTGACCGAGCAGTCGACAGAGGTTCACCGCTTCGACCGCGTCTGTCGTTTCCATGCTAACATGGTGCCGTTTCTCTGTGTCGGGGGGTTGGCTCTAGGGCTTGCCAAGGGAACTCCGGTTTGAGATGTGACGAATCGCAGGCATTCACACTTCTACTGATTCTCATTGGCACATTGGCACGGTACCAAACGGTTTCGTGCAAATCAATCATAGTACCTACGACGGCTACCTCTCGTTGGCTCACGGGACAGTGTCCACGAAGAGCCGGGCGGCCCCGCATTCCGCAAGCCACAATTCGAGTACGGTAGTACGTAAGCCTGTTGGGTCGCAGGATACACAGTGTACAGTCGTTGTGATCTACAAATCAAAGACCCTCTTTAGATAATCCTCACGCTCGATACAGCAGCATAGCCCTTTGAGATTGGAGGTACAGTTCACGCAGAGGCGATCGCTATACTGTACATAAACCGCGAATTTGACCTTCCTGACACGCACCGAAGTGAACAGATCCGTCACTACGGGCACGTAGTGCTCTGTTGCGTCCTCGGCATGCATCATCCTAAACACATCTAGGCATGCTCCCGGGCGGGAGCACTCGGGCGACGAGCCCGACTCCTTCCAGTGAGCGGGGAGAGACTGGACATCGGTCGAGCACGTCGACAGCAGCTGGGGGATGGCTTTGAAGCATTTCAAGTAGTCCTCGCTGGAGAGTCGCTCGACCGTGCCATCCTCCCGAGGAACGCCATCCCGCAAGTGGAGCGCGTCCCCCGCGCAACACAGGAACAGCGCGAAAGGTAGGATATCTGGCCGGCCCAGCAGTCGAGCAAGATTGACCGCTTCGATCGCATCTTCAATCGTGGCGCTAGTGCGCTGGATCACTTGGTGCATTGACCAAAAGGCTTCCCAGTTAAGACCCGGTATGGTCAGCTGCCTCTTGCCTAACACTTGGAGCGTGTGAGGCCATCCGCGGAAGAATCCTTCGATCCGTTGAGCAGCGGCTTCCACCGCTGCGTCGGCCTGGTATTTGTGGCCGACACGGCAAATAGCGGCGAGCATACGAAAGGAAGGCCTATATCCGGAATTAAGGAAGCTAACGCCGCAACGGTAGGGCGGTGTGTAAGAATGATGTCGAGACGGCGACTCGTGAAGGAAAAGCCATACTCGAAGATAGGTCTGATCACCAGACGGAAGAAATGGCGAAGGTCACTCGCAGAGTCCGATACACGCACGATCTGGCAGCCATCCATCGTCTCGGCGTTCTCAGGCTGTGGAACGGAAAAGAGGTCGCGGAAAATGGGAGAGACGGATGAGAGGATGCTCTTGTGGAGTCGGAACCCGATATCCTGGGCAATGATGACGATGTTTCCATCCTCAAACCAGAAATCCTCATCCTTTTGCATTTCTCGACGACGGCCGGTGGGCAACGTGGTCAACAGAAGATAGCGAGGTCGGAGGATACGGGGAAAGCACGTAGATCGTTCTATCAAAAGCTACTCATCAATCGACTCTCAGAGAGAACTAGAGGACTGCGTACTTACTCTCAGTTATAGCTGGAATAGCTATCACAAGAACGGATACCGACACACTGAAAGATAGAGGGTGTCGATCGTGCACGACGATTAGAAGACAAGAGTAAAGCGTGAGACAGCCGCTGCGGTAGGACGCGACGTGTGACACCTCAATGGCCCTCGATGTCACGAAGCTCCTTCGTTCGGGTCGCCGGAAGATCGGGCAGAAGGCATCCTGCTGTGAGTCCTTCAGTGGACAAGCATTGAACGTTCTCAGAGGCCGTTTCAAGCCATCCTACGTGATAAGCGCCAGATATGAGGCCAATGGAACGCGGCGCGGACCCTCAGCGCCAAAACATGTCTTTTGAGTTGACTCAGACCGCGATGCTGTCCGGCGCATCGCGCGCCGCAGACTATGTATATCCTCGAGCTCATCACTGTGAGCATGAACCGAATACAACGAAATCAACTTGGTGTATACATTTCAACTTGAAGTATATATGTCATGCATATATGTGCGTGTCTTGACGCTGGATGCCCTAACATCAGTCCGGAGTACACCTAGAACTTGAAGGATATCGACCAAGTCAAGACTGGTATGCATCGCGAAACGCTTTTAAGCTATGACCCTTCTATGTGCCATCGAAGCGAAGAGTTCGTCTGACGCAATCACATCTTGTTCCCCTTTATACACCGCGATCATGACAGTGTTGGAATATTACAAACAACTTCTCAACAGCGCAGTCAGACATTGCCGAGGGTCTTGTGCAGACCGGAAGGACAGAGCGAACATGGGCCGCAGGCGCAGATGAGATCCTGGGGATCGCTTGGATGCACTTCAGGTACTTAGTCCTCGTTAGACAAGGTATTGTCCAGTCCTTTTTCGTCGGAGGCACAGAGAATCGCACCAGTCTGATGCGAAACATAGAAAGAGCGAGAATAGCATCATATCCAGCCAAACTGCCCCAATGATATCCGTCCGTTTGGATTCCCGGTGCTTGCTCCGATAATCGCGTCCCCGGCCAAAGCTATGAGATTCGTCCTCTTGTCTCTGAAAGCTGCGTATACTATCATTCACCGTCATTCAGGAAGTCTGTAATATGGCTGGTTCATTCTGCGGTATAATACGCTACAGCTCGAAAACTTTTGTCAGAAAGGCCGCCTCACCGCCATACTCTATGACATCGAGTCTGAGCACACATCTCGAACAGAGGCATAGATAGTATGTCGTATAGGCCACGGGCTTGGTACGCAAAAAGCGAATCGACGCGAACAAATCCGTGACTACTGGCACGTACTTTTCTTCTATAAAGTCGCGGTGCATCATTTCAAAAACCTCTGCGCACTGGCCTCCATTGGTGCAATCTGACAGCACGCTAGCGGTCATAGAACGAGCGAGGACAGAGCGTATCTTATCTGAGCATGCCGCCCGTAGCTTAGGGATAGCCTGGATGCATCTCAAATAGTCCTCGCTGGAGAGTCGCGAGACGGCTCCGTCCGGCCGAGGGACACCATCGCGCATGTGTAGCGGATCTCCCGCGCAGCATAGGTACAGCGCGAAAGGTAGTATGCTCGGCCGACCAAGCAGTCGAGCCAGACCGACGGCTTCGAATGCGTCTTGAATTTCCACAGCCGTGGGACAGAGGCGGTTGTGCGCCCACCAAAACAACTCCCAAGTCAAAGGCATTCTACCTCTGTTCTTTGAGATGATTGTCGCCGCTGTGCTAGGCCAACGGGCGAAGAAGTTTTCGATGCGTGAAGCCGCCGCATCAACAACTTCGTCGGCCTGATATTTGTGTCCGATGCGGCATACTGCAGCCAACATACCAAAGGCGGGCTTATAGTCATGGCGGAGATGACTAGGATTTCAGCGGATGTAACCCAATAGCAGTCGCAACTTATCAGCGATCTGTCAACTCTGCAGTAGAGCGTCACCTCACCTGAAATCAGGCTTAGTCACCGCGCGGAAGAAATGACGAAGATCCGTGGCAGGATCTGGGAGGCGGATGACAGGGCAGTTGTCCATGGTCTCGCCATCCTCAGGTTGAGGGACGGAGAACAGGTCCTTGAATACGAGCGAGGCTGCCGAGAGGATACCTTTGTACAGTCGGAATGCAGTGTCCCCAGCGACGATGATGATATTCCCGTCCTCGAACCAGATCTCCTCGTCTCGCTTGGCCTCGGGCGCAAGATGACAATCGGTGGGAGACATGACGAGGGCAGATATAGATCAGGATTGGATATCAATCTAGTATGCATCGTCAGTCAACCGACTCCTGTAGCTGATCACGGTGTACTCACTCTAAGATCGCAACTGTCGAGGGTTGAGCAGCACGATCGTAGTTGGTGAGGACGATGGAGATGTGAAACAAAGATGTCAGCGCTGCTGAAGTAGTCGTGCTGCTTTGTGCTGCGGTACCGCGTGGGGTCGACCATGCATGTCAGCACTGGGAGAAGTCATCGTGGCCGTGAAGCTAACCGGTCCGAAGTGTCCGCCTGCAGAGCTCCAGAAAGTGTCGAATCAATCGTCGTCCTCCCCAAACAGGCGTTAGACAGGAGAAGGAACTGCATTCATACAGATCTCAGCACCGCTCGTAATCAACACACTCGCAGGCACCACCTCACCTGCCTCATCGTCCCAACACTCAGGGTCCACAACGGGCCCCGAAAAGGCCTGCACAACGTTCCGCACGATCCTCGGTCTCACAACCTCCTGGAAAACCACCAACACACGCGCTCTCCACGCCCCGCACACCGCCCGCTCCCTCCACGCCCGCGGGGGCACCCTCCTATTCTCGTCCCGAACGAGCCCGTCCCACAGCGGCACCGCGAACCGCTCCTGTTCGCACTCCCGCAGCATTTCCCCGCCCGCTAGGCGCCGTGCGGAGCGCGACCTCCCCGGCCTAGGGAAAGGTAGAGGCGAGGGCGGGCAGCGCGCGCACGCAAGGGAGATAGTCCGCGTCCGAGAGGCGCTCGAGGCGCCGGTCCTCCCGCCGCGCCCCGTACCGCAGGAGGAGGGGGCTGCCGGAGCGGCAGAGGAAGAAGGCGAGGGGAAACGTTTCGGCGTAGGCGTAGTCCCCCGGGGCTTCGGACGCGGGTGAGGTTGACGGCCTCGATGCCTGTCGCGCCGGACATGGGCACGGCAAGCCCGGCGCGCGACTTGGGCTGGGATTGGATGTCGGCCGAGGAGCATTGCGAGGGCCACGAGCCGAGGGGGGCGAGAGAGGAGGAGAAGCGGCGGAGGTGGGAAGCGGCGGCTTCGAGGAGGCGGTCGGCTTGGTATTTGTGCGTAATGCGGATCGTGACGGCGAGGCGGGCGAAGGGGAGCTTGTGGTCGGGGTCTAGGAACCTATGCGGGCGCGGTTATGGTTCTCGTCGATGAACAAGGGGTGTACGGAGGGCTGCTGGAGAAGTACTCGGCGGATGACTTGGGGACGACGCTCAAGAAGTGGCGGAGGTCCGCTAGGGAGTCGGAAACTCGTCCATGGTCTCGATTCCCTCCAGCTGCGGGAGGGAGAAGAGGTCCTCAGATACGGAAGAGATGGATGAGAGGATGCCTTGATATATTCGAGATGCAGTATCATCGGCCACGATGTCGAGGTTGCCATCGTCGTACTAGATCTTGTGGGCTCGCTTCGGAGCCTGATGCTGTGGCGGGCTGGGGGAGACGAGGAGCTAACAACATACTGGGCGCTTATGCACAAGGACTGCAATTACTGTTACGGAACAGACGAGATGAACCATGTCTACGTACGACGGAGCTTCCGCGCTCCCGCCAAGGCCAAGAACAGAGCATTGAGAGGGAATCGCAAGGCTAGCATAGGTGACGACGCAGAGAGCGTTGCAAGAGATGCTGAAGTGCGCACAGGAGGGGCGTAATAAGAAAACACTTGCAGCTATATGCGACAAGCCTCATGGTTGATGGACGAGTCGGATTGAGAGCTACTGAAACGTTCCTAGGCAGCTGGGAGAGGACCAATTTCGCTGAGGAAGCTGAGGAACGCCGCAATCAGAAAGACGGTGCGCGTCCATGGGCCTGAGCCTGAGCAGGACACACAGTTGTGAGAAGCAGGACGGCAAGCGGCTATCGCATTCTGCCCGTGCCTGCGTCACGTGCGTGGAGGAGCGATACGGGCGGCCCAAAGAGGAAGGGACACGTCCGGTGGCCAGCAAAAAGTGGCCACACACATCTGGGCTTGCGCACTCCTCTCTCCTCCCCCTCCCCCTCCTCCTCCTCTTGCTCCCCCCCCACATCACCTTTGGTTTTCATCCTCCCCGTCTTCTGCCCACACAGTCCTGTCCTTGTCCTTTGTCTGCAGCCAGTCTATACCGGCAAGATGAACCCCGCCGTGCAGAACCTCGTCATCTCCCTTGGTGCCATGCAATGTCCGTGTGCCGTCCCCGTTTGCCTCTCTTGTGTCCGAACTGACGTCGCTCGTGCTTCTTCTACCCCGTGCTCGCTGCTACACTCCCGCTGTGACCAAATGCGCCGCCACAACACACGTCTGTCCGTCCGCAAAATCATACCGGGGCTGTAGTGGCCAAGAGGGTGCCGTTCGACGACCCCCAGGTGCTGACGTACGTCCGCATCGCATACGTCGCGACGCAGGTCCTCGTCCTCGGCGTGTACTACTACACCGGCCTGCAGGTGCGTCCTCTTTCGGCCTTACTCGTGGGGACAGGGCGCTCACGCGAGGGGCCCGCAGATCAAGAAGAAGAACGACCAGACGGTGCTCAAGTATGGTACGTCTCGCATGATGTCTCGAGTTCGTCGACGGGAGGGGCTGAACGCAAGTTGCGACGCACAGTCGAGCCGAACCCGATGGTACGTGTCCTGCTGGCGTGCGCTCAAGGGGCGGCGTTCACCCGTTTGTCTCCGACAGGACCCTGGCGCGAACAAGCTGGTGACGACGACCGTCCGGGACTACGACCTGCAGGAGACGTCGAAGCTCATGCGCGCGGTCTACTTCGGCGTCGCGATGATGGCGTTCATGCACCTCTACATGAAGTACGTCTCTGTCTGCGTGTCTACGAATTGCGCTATTCCCGCATCCGCACCCCGGTCTGACATGCTCGCCCCGCCAGATACACCCAACCGCTCTTCATCCAAGCGCTCATGGGCCTGAAGACGCTGTACGACGCGAAGCCGGTCGCGATCCACGTGCTGGGCAAGCCCGCGGAGGGCGACCTGAAGCGGCCGTTCAAGGCGGGAGGGATGTTTGGGGCGGCGTCGGACCCGCAGACGGACAAGGCGGCGATCGACGAGGCCGAAAAGAAGGTCGGCAAGAAGGAGGACTGATTGGTTGACCGCTAGCCGTGGTGCTTGTCGTGGCTCTGTGTGAGTGACTGCGCGTTATGTATGGTAGGATCTGTGCGTTAGACGTGGGTCGCAAAAATATCACCTGTTAATGTATGTTGTATCGGGCTCGCGCGAGGGATGTGCGACGTCGTATGCATGCTCAACAGAGGAGTCGAGGATGCGTTGATATCGCTGATACGCTATGGATACAGTTGCAAAGTCCGTCTTCAGGCAAGCCTGATCTCACAAGGTGCCAACGTCACCGTCGTTCCCCCGCGCTGCGCCGCTCTCGAACTGCCGCCGCCTAGGGTCCGCATAGGCCGAAGCGAGCCGGTCGGCGGTCTCTTCTTTGGAGTCGGGGTTACGCCCGTACGGGTTGAGCGGGTCGAAGTCCCGTTTTGCGTCATGGTCGAACGCGGCACGGGTGCGCGGGTCCGTGCCCTGTTTGGCGTCCTGGAGCTCGGACGCTAGGGGCCCGCCGTCGAGGGATTGGGTGATGAGGCCGGTGTCGTTGGAGGGGCGGGAGGGGTCGGCGCGGCGCTGGCTGGCGGGGGAGAAGGTGCCTGAGGAGCCGTACCCGCCTTCGGAGGTCGCTAGAGAGAGTGGGAGTGAGGATGGAGGGAGCGAGGGGATGAAGCGGAGAACGTACTGTCGTTCTCGGGCGGGTAGTTGGCGGTGGAGTAGTCGGACTGGTGGGCGAGAGCGTCGTTGTTCATGGTAGGGCAGGTGTGAGGTGAGTGGGGCGTGCAGTAACGGGGGTGGTCCGTATGGTAAGGTGAGTAGTGTGAGGATAGAGACATCAAATGGCCACAGCTTTTCTACTGGGTTGCGCGATGACGTCGGCCCCACGTGCGAGCGACAGACGCGTCGGTCGCTCCACCCCACGCGCCTTTGAGCATCCCTGCCTTGCCAGCGCTATAAGTATGCGCTTGCCACTAGTGTTGCCGCCAAGCCAGCTAAGCTAAGCCAAGCTCACGAGCTGGATTGAGCTGGGTCATCAAGCTGGAGCAAGCCAAGCTGAGATCAAGCTAGCTGGGCGCCAGCTTCCTGGCTTGCCAGCTGAGCCACCAAATATGGTAACAGGTCGCTCATTCACAAAGACGTTGTGGTATATACAACGTAACTTTTGTACATGAGGCAATTTTGTGCAGCTAGTGGAGACGATAACATATGAAGACTCCGTTAAGGTCCTTTAGACACGGAACGGGGATGTTCAGCGGTGCTGGTAGGCGGAGAGTTCTTGAATGGTCAACTGCTCAATGTGGGAAATATGGTCTCCAGTGAAGTCTAGCCGATAGGCGTGTCTCCACCACCTTGAAAACAAGAGCAGGCTTCGACAAGGAAGCAATGGGCTGACTGGAAGAACTGGAGTTAACAATAGCAGGGGTGTGGTCCAATAGGATACAGGGAGTGGGGATTTGCGAGATGGCAGATCAAGGATCAGGTATTGTAGTGGGTCGAAAGGATTCTATTCCACACTGTTGGCTATACTTAAGTACATCAAAGCTCGTACTGGATATTGACGGTGCTGGGCTGCGCAGAAAAGGAGGAACAAAGGCCATTTCAGAAAGGAGGGACGGCATGAGAGGACGGGTGGCAAGAGCGAGAGCGATGTTCTGTATCGCGTATCGCATAAAACGGCTTGATTTGGAAGGTTTATGTCATCCGTCCAGCCGTGGGCCAGCCAGCTTGGGGAACGGCTTGGAGTTGAGCTGGTCATGAGCTTGATTTCGGATCTATCGACCCGGCTTGGCTTGTTCCAGCAAGCCGGGCGTCTAGCTGGCAAGCTAGCTGGACAAGCCGGCTCAGCTTGGCGGCAACACTACTTGCCACCACGTTTGCAACATGGTCATCATGAGGTTTGCCAGTGCCGAGCCTGTATATATGCGGTGCTCAATAGGCGGGATCGCTCTGACTTTGCTCATACTGCTAGCGTTCCCGCCTACCCACATACAATATCGATTACCGTTCTCAACCGCGGCTCATTCCAGCCTCGTCGCGATACCGCACCTGATACACGACCTGGCACGCTCCACCCCAATATCGTCAGCATCCGACATGTAGGTTCAACACCATCTCTGTTCTGTTACTGGCTGACCCACACGACAACCCAATTTGTCTCAGTTTAGGGCACGGCATTCTGCTTTATTGAAACACAAGCTCACGAAGTCGCTGGCGTCCTACTGGCCTTCTCCATGATGCGTCGGGATATCCTATTGGCGTGCATGCCTGTTCTCTTCCTGCGCTGTCTTGCCATAATAAACCAACCCATCATCCACCATTTCCTTCCGAACATTGTGTGGCCGTTTGTGAAGTACGGTATAGATGTCCAGGGTAGCGGATGTCTGCCACTCAGGTTGTCCTTCCGTCCTTCCGCAAGGTCTCTCGCTCTCGCAGACGACTGCCCTGAAATAGTAGTCGTGCGCTATCCCGCTCTCGCTCAACATCGTCCCCTCTGCTACACGATTGATCCCCTTTCAGGTGGCGCGCTGGACAACGCCTTTTTTCTGACATGCGCGGAGTTCTATGCCACACCTGCACTCGTTGATAGTGAGGCTGCGCTGCAATTGACAGCACGGCCCACCTTGGTCGTCTAATCCTACGTATTCCACCCACGCCGCTTCCAACTACCGCATTCCTTGCTCCTCTCACCGCCTTCTCATACCAGCTATTCTACACACGACGGTATTCTCACAAGTACGCTGCAGAGCGTGAGGCCATCGGCGCAGTGGTCGGCACATGCACGCTTGTCTTCAGACGCTCAGGCTACCCAGCGATCGGAATCCGATGCTTCAATCGACGGCCGCGTGGCCACACCTTCGCTCGCTCGAGCTCAGCGGCGAGCATCCTGTAGGCTTACCGGAATCGACCTCTAATAAACCCGTGAGAATGCCCGAGCTGCGCGTCTTGGCCCTGGCGCAAGTTGGCTCTGCCCGCACATGTCGATCGGTAGCAAGTGTGACCCGAGCTTGAGGTGTTGGCGCTGGAGGGTCGCGCGGATGAGGTTGACAGTGCTCGCCTGCACCGCAGCATCAATAAATGGGGTTCCGCGCTTGAGAGAACTTGAGATGTATCGCGTTCGTAGGCGTAGGACGGAAGCGATTCCGCAGGTACGTCTCCGCCATCAGAGTGACCTCGCATTTACATACACTCGCCACGCTGACGACGACTACGCCGCAGGGCGCGCTCTTTCCAGATTCACCGCTTTGCGGAGTCGCTGCCTATGTACACTTGGACTTTGCATTCTCGGGATTTGCGTTGACCGTAGAGGACTCGCAAGGCCTCTTGACGGCTCACGCGACACGGATTGCACCTCCTGGACGAGATCAGCATGGTACACTGGGACAAGAAGGTGCGAGTAGCTATCCATTCCCGTCGGTGGAGAGCATCGCTGGAGGTCACTACAAGGCCGAACACTGTCGACTTTCGTGGAATGGTGTAAAATCAGCTCCGTGTGGCCACTCACCCAGGCTCGGGCCCCAATCGCCACGAATGGCTGCGATTGTTATGGCGAGTTCCCCGAAGTAAGACTACAACCAGGGCTCGCCGGTTACTCGGTCTAGTCTCCGTAGTAAAAGTTTGACGCCACCTTGTACATCGCGGTCTACATCACCCATCCATAGAGACATTCACGGTCCAATATCGCGTGGAAGGTGGGCGGGGTACGGCACAACTGCCCGTTTGACTAGGCCAGCCGAGACCGTGATCCTAGGCGCCACCGTCTGAACGTTGGGAGCGTTCCGGGTGCAAAGCCATACGAACGTAATATCCAAGGATTCTTGCCATGATTCTCGCGGGAATGGACCATCGGGCAGCTGGTCAACTTGACAGGTCGGAGGGCCTATCGGGCGTCACACATCGGGACTTTCGAAGGCCCGAAAGTCAGCGGAAGAATGGGATGCTGCGCGGTGGTCCGGTTGTGCAGTCTTCGAGTGCTGCTTCTAGTAGCCGCGCCCTTCTCGACTGTCTTCCACTGTTCATGGCCGGCCATGGTCGCTGTGAGGGACCCGGGAGGGGAAGCGACCAGGCTTGGTAGAGTTACATCTACGAGATAATCAGTATTGCGGCCGGATCCCCGATGTGCCGCACTCGATGGACGATGTGTGATTCAATTGCCACCGGAGATGGCGAGGATTGCTCGGCTCCCGGACAACCCGTATTATGTCCCCGTAGTCTTATTTCTATCCAGCATCGTGTGTGCAAGGTCGGTAGACTGACGTGCGTTGGATGAATGTTCTGGAGATCCAGAAGGAGAGGCGTGGTTAGAATAATGTCGTTGGCAAAATCCGTCGCGGGACGAGGTACAAACCAATGCAATGATGAAGTTCTTTCCTGGCCGTCCTGAGTTCCTACTGTAGGGCCATATCCTAGTTCATAGCTAAGACGTGCTCTTGACGTGGACCTGAAGCTTTGCGGAGGTAATTGCCAGCTGGGTGGACCACGTAAATCACCGGTCGCTGCTGAAGGCTGCCAGCCCGCCTTCGATGTCCTTGATCGGCTGGAAGGCTATTTTCTGACGTAGGATATCGAAGTTTACCATCTTCATTCGTAGAGACAATGATTCACCTCTGGCACTCGTCTCGGCTGTTCATGGCGAGAAGGAACCAGTGCGGGAGCTCGCATGAGTCCGGTCGGACCGCCGACACGACGGTGGGCGCCTGGCTGGCCCGGAAGTGTTCTCAGCGTTGGCGCCTCCACCTCCTTGTGCTGCGACCGTGACCCGCCGGCTGCGGCGCGCACAGAGCCTCCTTCTATTCCATCTTCCACGCTACGGAATGTCATCAACATTTGTTTTTCGACGCTCGTATAGCCCGGCTGCACCCACGCAGGTCTCAACTCTCCTAAACCAAGCTCAGCCTGAGGCCTGAAAACCCCGGAGACCGTCCCGACGGATAACTCCCGGCTCTGAAGTCGATTGACGAGCGTGTCAAAACGTGCGGCGTTTGTGCTGCCATGTTATCTCAGAAGGTAAGCCTTTCGTATCTGCGTACCTCACGAAAAGCATCCCATGATATGCAGCCGTCAATGAACGTCTGGTCGACTCTGCCGGGGATCCGCGGTTTGCCGTTGTTTCTGAGTCTAGTATGGTCCCCCCGCGCTTTTTCCCACCGCACGTTGTTCCTAACCATGCAGAGCTTACGATGTTTTTCGCTTGTACACTTCCAGAAGGTAGAAATTCGCCACGATCACCCGTATGCCGCTGCGCACGTATGGACGCTGTAGAGCTTACTGGCGCCTAAACCTGCTGATCAGGGTATCTCAGGGACAGTGCGCCGATTAAAGAACCATATCAACAACTCACGGTTCCTCCGCTGCTTCATTGTCGCGTAGGAAGAATCGCGTCGAGAGTGCGCTCCGGAGCATGACCGACGGCACAATGCCTATTACGCCGTAAGTTCAAAACGGGATCTGTGCTTCCGGCTGAAAACCAATGGCAGTCGTGCGCCTCTTGAGCCGCCCCACGCCCACGCATTCCAGTTTCCATAAGGAGGTCGTCGAGGAAGACTGCGACGTGAAGAACATGTAGGTCTGTATAGTGCGTCAGTGGCAGTACTCAATAGACTCACCTGCATTTGTCAAGGGTAGCGTGATATTTTTGGTGTTGTCACGACTAGAAGATCAAAAGGGGAAACGAGGAATAAGAAAGTCGCTGTATGTCCGCAGTCATGGCATGTCACAGCATCCGGGACAGTACAGACGCTGGCCAGCCTTGGATAGCCTGGGTAAGTGCCGCCTCACGCGGACGAGCGGATATGAACCCCGCTTTATCTCGAGGCCTGACTACGCACGACCCTGTGAGGCTGTTCTGGAGCTTCCTCGATTGCTATGATAGAGCAACCGAAGTCACAAACAGCTGCATAAGATTCTAGGGAGAAAGCTGCCGGGGAGAGACTCCCCGCTACTTCATCCATTGACTATTAGCTCTCGTTACCTCCCCGCTTCTTTTCTGCCGCCGGCCTATATAGTTTCCCTCGACCTCTTTGAAGCCCTCACCTTTGTCAGGCAGCTTTTCCCATCCCTTCCTGACGCGTAGGCTCGTCGTTCCTTTTCAAGATCAGAGCATGAGGTTGGTCGTCACATCCCCTACATCGTCCCTTGAATCAAATTCAGCTGACTGCCACGATTCGTCTAGCACCAGGCCATCGGACAACATTCCCTCATACACTGTCACCGATGGTCATCAGTACCCACCCAACGCTTCCCCGACACTAGTCGCGCCTGTCCCGCGACTCTCAGACGCGTCGTGCGTGTATGGCGTAGCCCCAACCTTTGTCCCTTCTCCGTCGCTTTCGCATCCTAACTCGAGCTTCGCCACTCATACAAGTATGCCGAACGTGGACGACGATGGCGACAAAGATAGCGGTACTCGGGTCGAGATTCGAGAGTTCATGCGCACGCCCAGCCCGACGCCCTCGGAGAAATACGTCCTCACGCACAAGAGCCGATCCTGTGATATCAAGAAGTACTTCACGCGGGAGAAACTCAGGCAGCCTAAGCACATACGTACCTACGTTCTCTCGCGTGCCTGCATGTAGGGACAGGCGACTGACATGGCCATTCCCGTCGGACACAGTGACAATCGCGATTACGCTCGTGGTGGTTATCGTATTGATCCTGTTCCTGGCTTTTCAGCAGAAAGTCGTGAATTGGATGCGTCCATTTGCGAACTGGATGCATGAGTGAGTGTTCTCTTCCGTTGCTACCTGTGTTCATGCCCTGAACGAGCGTGTGAAGCACCCCAGGCGGATGGATCATCCCGATTGCGATCATGTTCGTTCTATCCTTCCCCCCTGTGAGTCTACCTTTCTATACTTCGGGCGATATGAGAGTACCGGGATGCCGCTTACCACCAGACTGTGTGCAGCTCTTCGGCCACGAGATCATCGCCGTCCTTTGCGGAGACGTTTGGGGCGTCTGGATAGGCTTCGGGATCGTGGCAGCAGGCACCCTCCTTGGCGAGCTTGGCAACTTCTAGTACGTCCGCCTTCAGTCTGCTCTCTGTCGTGAGATGCTAATGCGACGTGTGCCTCGGTGGTGTGAAGCGCGTTCAAATATTGGTGCATGGCGCGCGGAAAGAAGATGGAGGAGACGCAGATGCGCTATGCCGTCCTCGCGCAGGTCGTTAGAGAGGGCGGGTTCAAAATACCGGTTATTATGCGGCTGAGTGCCATCCCGGGGCACTGTACGTGTTATACGTTGTCAGTCTCTCGCGCAGTCGTCCTTACTCGACAGTCTTCAGTCTTGACGGCGATATTCTCGACCCTTGGGATGAGCGTATGGACGTTCATCGCTGCGGCTACTCTCGGACTGCCAAAGCAGCTCGCGGTCGTGTACATCGGCGTTTCGCAGTCGAGCAGCGGTGAGTTTGCGACGTTCCAGTGAAAATTGCAGAAGCACTTATGCCGTCTTATGCGGCGGATGACAGGCAGCCACAAGACGGCGCACGCCGTAAAGGCAATCGTGATCATCGCCACTGTCATAGTCACCCACTTGGCCATGCTCTACATCTACAGGAAGATGGATGAGGTGAAAGCGGGTGTCGTGTATAAGAGGAGGAAGGCAAGGTATGTTGCTGAGCATGTCTCCCCCTCCGCCGCGGTTACTCATCACAGAATCCATCCCTACCCCCCTGCCACGCCTTGGCGACTTCTCTTCGTAAACTCAACGCTACATGCTGATTTCTCATCCGCTATCACCTACCTCATTGTGGTGACTTTTGGCTCGCGCACCCTTGCCGTGATCTGCGACATGAAACACTTGGCGTGCACATGCATATTCGATCGCGTACCACACCCTGCCTTGATCGGCTGTTCGCGCATACGCTCTCTCGCGACACGCAGGCAAGCCAAGATGCTCGCCGCGTCGGGTTATCCTCGTCCTGACGGAGCGATTCCAATGCCCGTGGATATCGACCTAGAGCGAGCGCGTGACGTCGAGTCTCGGTCCGGCATCAGCATGCGCACGGCCGTGGCTAATTCCCAAGCGTGAGTCATTCCAGCTCCTATTCAGGCCAAAATTCCGATGTCACTGACGCGTACAACGAACAGGACGGACCCGTTTGCGACCTCGGGAGATACCACGGCTAGCACGGCCGCGCTGTCGGCAGGTCCTCAGCGGATGAGCACTGGCGCGAGAGGGCTGTCAGCTTCAGAGGGCGACGTCCCCTCTCCGGGACGTGCGAGGAGGGCGGCTGAGCGCAGGAACGGGGAGCGCGAGCTCCGACGTTGAGTGAGCGGAACAGGGGAGGACCGACGAACGAATACAGTCGACACCCTCTTAACCCATAGCCCTCGGGACAGGCCCAAATATATGGGTTTTGAGGGGTTATGGGCTACCAGAACTTTAGCGCCTTCTAAGCGCCCTGATAAGTCCCAGTTAGCGAGGGCTGAACAGGCGTCTACTGACCCTTTGAGGGAGCGCTATGGGATTTAGAACACACTAACCTACCCACAACATGGTCGAAGTGTGGATGGACACTGGGAGGACACTGGGAAGAATGTGTCAAGTATTTTGCGGGTTATTGATGAGCGAAATCTCAGTGTGACCACTATTACCGTATGGGTTTTGAGCCCTAGAAGGCTATGGGTTATGGGGTATTGGGGACCTATGGGTTATGGGGTCGAATTCCCCCTTTCCCGACTTGGGAAAGCCAAAACCCTATGGGTTTTCGGAGTTTATGGGTTACCAGGGGTATGGGTTAGGAGGGTGTCGACTGTATACCGCTCCGAAGCGGCGTGATCGACGTTGCCGATCTACACACACCTCGGGTTTTGCTGCCAGGCACGATCGTGATCAGAAAACTGTATCAATGAAGAAAACAGCAGTGCAAGCGCTCAGGGAGATAGAGTTGGCGAGCGTTTACCCTCGTTCACCAGACTCGTCGTTTTGTGGCTGCGAAGTTGGTGTTGACGGTGGCGGCAACCAGGACGATGCATAGTATCAGACGCAGTCATAGTGTGAGGGCTCCTAGCGAATTAATCCATTTACTCTGCGCGAGTGCGTGGGATGCGAGTGTAACAGATGGCTTAATCCTGGCAGTTCATTCGAGTCGATAGCGATGCCTTGTCCTCAGCCATCGCCCGCACTTCGTACCCCACGGCGGAGCAAATTGACCGCCCGAGCGACTGCATGTCGATCTGCAATTGAGAGCGCGGCCATCACCTTCCAAGCGTTGAGGGAAGGAGACTCAAACGTTTGAGTATCAGCGACTGGAACACTTATGTCGTAGGGAGGGCTTGAGGCCCTGTCGTCAGAACGTAACTTCGTACATACTGCCAATTGGCCAATTCGATGTGGGATACCACGGAATTCGCAAGCCCCTCGTCGATGTCGTCACCTGTGGGCGATCTAATTGCACATGTACAAGCCGATGTGGAATGGCTTGCCGCCCATAGGAGATATATCAACCACGGAACGCTAGCCCATGGGAAGTTTGGAGTCGTTCAATTGTCGAGGTGACCAGTTTGCTATAGTATCGTACACCCCTGGGCCCCTGCTCACGACAGGACAAAGACCAAGGAGGTGGATCTTGCTGTGGAGACAGTGAGCGTTTACCATAGCTAGATTGAACGCCCGCCTTGATATTGATATCGGCGTCATACCTGGGACTCACGGTGATGGACTGTGGACATCGAACACCATAGCCCACTGCATGTCAATGCAAGGGCGCATCACCGACAATAATAGAGCAGTTGGAAGAAAGATCCGGTTTGTGAATCGGAAGGCTCAGAGACGCAACATACTACGCGATGTTGAGCAGGCTATACATGCGCCAGCTGCGTGCCAACATACCCGGGTCGCGACGTCGAGGGAGAGATGGATTTGCGCTGCGGGGGATCGGTAGTGACTAGTGAAGAGGGGCGGTGTGTGGATAAGGCCTCAGGCGTTGATAACGGACCGCAGCGGTGGCTGTTCTCAAACGCAAAACGCGATGCACGCAGCACACCCGTGTCATAGCACACCCCACAACATACGCGCTCTGTCGCGTTCCCGGCCGCGCACCTCTCAGCCGCGCCATGATATATATACATATGCTTCAGGCGCGGTCCCACCATCTCTCGCCATCCGTCCACCCTCTAAATCTCGTCCCAAATCCACATGTCTTCAGGGTGAGCTTCAGTCTCCCTTGCTTGCGCCCGTATACGTCCTGATCCACGCCGCTTCGCCTAGGAACACGCAGCTATACGCCCCTCGCCCGCAGGGGCCCCCGACCCACTTCTACCCGCCGCCTAACGAGAATGCCCTCCAAGTCCCCTCTCTACACCCTTCGCCATCACCGTCTCGTACTTCCGATGACTACTCAGCCAATGGATACAGGAAGGAGGGCCGTATAGGCGTCGACTACCGCCAAGTCACGCGCACACCCAGTCCCACTCCGTCCGAAGCGGAGGCGCTTGTGAACAAGACGCAATCATTCAACCTCAAAAAGTTCCTCGACCCATCATACCTCAAGAACCCGAGGAATTTGAGTGCGTGGATCCCGCTCGATGCCCTGCGTCGATGCTAATGATTGATGGTCTTGCAGTCTCCTTGATCGTTACGATCCTGATCCTTGCTCTCGTCATCGTGTTCATAGTCGAGCAGAATAACATCGTCAAGGCATTGAGACCGGTCGCGCAATGGATGCGCAAGTACGCTGCTTGTCCTTTGCTGCATTTTTGGCACCGTTACTCACGAGTTCTCCGCAGAACACCCGGTAGATGGCTCATTCCTATCGGCATCATGATCATCCTCTCCTTCCCTCCTCTGTTTGGCCACGAGATCGTCGCTCTGCTCTGTGGAGATGTGTGGGGAATCGGGATCGGTTTCGCGATTGTCGCGGCTGGTACGCTTCTCGGAGAACTCGTAACCTACTAGTGAGTCTCGCCAACCGTTCTTTCGCCCATCGAAAGCTGTCTGACCACTGCACCGCAGCACCTTCCGATACTGCTGCAAGGCGCGCGGCGAGAAAGCGGAGCAGAAGAACCTCCGCTTCGGTCTCCTGTCAGAAGTCATTCGTGAAGGTGGCTTCAAAATGGCCATCATAGTCCGATACAGCGCCATCCCTGGTCACTGTGCGTCGTCCGCGAGCATTCGTTTCGGGAAGCGTTCAGCTCTAATCATCTTTCTTTCCTCTCAGTAACGACCGCCATATTTGCGACCTGCGGCATGGGCGTACTCACATTCCTCGTCGCCGCGGTCCTTTCCCTGCCGAAACAGTTCGCGACGGTATATCTTGGCACCGGCACTGTGGACGCCAACGGCGATGGTGAGTTTTCCCCCGCGCACTCCCACACATCGCGTCTCTTCTGACATGTCCATCAAGTCCAACCGTCTCACACGCAGAAGATCGTGAAAATCGTGCTCATCGTCATCACCACGATCGTCACGATGGGCGCCATGCGCTACGTGAACGGCCAGATCGACAACGTGAAGCAGGAGGTCATCTACAAGCGCCGCAAGGCGCGCCAGGCGAAGCTAGCGGGGGCCTCCGCCTCCTCGTTCCCCTTCAAGCCCGCGCACGACGACGACCCTGAGGACGTCACGCCCCTCGTGCCCCGCGCAGGCGGCAACAACGGCTACGCCCGCGTGTCGATGGACCACGCCGACGTGCACGTGCCGACGCCCGCGTACACGAACGCGGGGTACGCGCAGCAGCAGCAGCAGCAGCCGGTCCCGACGTTCGCGCCGCCGCGCTCGCCCCCGCCGAACGTGTACGGTACCGAGGCCCGCTATGACGACGCGTATGGCGGGCGGGACGCGCTTTCGACTGGCGGTCTGCGCACTCCCGCGGGGTCGTCGCCAGGTCCCGCGTCGAGCACGCGTTTACCTCAGTGAGGTCGGGGTGGTGTCATATTTAAGCAGCTCTTGTCGGGCTCGGACTTCCGTCGATTCTCGTCATCATCCCAGTAAATCTGTGGCGCATACTACCTGTCCTTGACTGTATCAATCACCCTCGCCCATATGCATATCTCGTAGTATGTCCACTGTAATTATACTTTACGTGCTTCAAATGATACAAATGATACATAGCGTTCGTCGCGCCGCGCAGGCTGTATTGCTGAGGAGACGGTGGCAGTGGCTATCCTTGCAAAACGTATGATCCAAGGTAGAACCAGACATACATTCCATTCAAGGCACGACGGCTTCTGTATGATACATCGTGAAAGACTGCTAATTTGGCTTGTGATAGGGAGGACGAGCGTGTTCCACAGACCCGCTCCCGAGTCCTTAGGCCTCCACCTTCACGCCTACCAGACCCGGGAGCTTTTCCCAAAAGCCCTTCCGAAGATCCCGTTCCCTATTCCGCAGCATCCTTGCGCAATTAGCGCACAAGCCTACCTCTTCCATCGTGTCGATCCCCTCCCTCAGCGACTCCCCTAGCGGGTCTCCGCCCAACGCGTCCTTGAACACCATCGACATCATGGATCCCTGCCTAACCTGGGCAAGAAGCGACCTGCATGTGTTCTTCCAAAAGTCACCACGGCAATTCTCGCTCACGTTTCCCGCATGCAGCTTCACCGCCATGTCCGCTGCGTTCTCTACAAACGTCTTCTTCAGGTCCAGACAGAGCTCGACATCGTCCATGTCGAGTTTCTCGAGCGTCTTATCCGCCCGGCGGTGCCCGCGGAGGAGCTTCCCAGGCTCGAGCTGGCTGCAGAGGTAGAGCGCGGCGGGTAACATGTCGTCGCCCCCATCCCGCCTGCCGAGTGCGCGGCAGAGATTAACAGCCTCGATGGCATCCTCAGGACGGAAGCGCTTGGACGCACGGATTTTTGCGTTCGCGTCCCAGGCTTCGAATGAGGGAGGGAACAGCTGCTGGAGGCGGGCGGTGGCTTCGTTGAGGACCCGGGAGATGTCGTATTTGTGCGCGAGGCGCGCTGCTGCTGCGAGGTCGGCGAAATCATCCGGGCGAGTAGTGTTCAAATAGCTATCCGGGAACAAACGTCGGCGTGGGAACTGAAGATACAACATGTTCCCACTCACTCGAAGCCTTGGTAGAAGATGCGCAGGAGGTGCTCGAAGTCGTGGGCGGAGTCGGAAAGCCGGATGACTGTACCGTCTGCACCTGTCTCGTCTCGATCGATTGTGACCCCAATTTTTTTCGATCGAACCTGAGCATAGTCGATGTCTCCAAGGATATCCCTGAAGATGGGCGAATTGAGGGCTAGCACCCCCTGGTGGACGCGGAAATACGTGTCCTGAGCAACGACGACCACGTTGCCGTCTGCGAACCACAACGCATGTTCGTCGCGGTCTGGGATGGTGCTAGTTGAGGCTGACGACGTATCGAAGCGGTACGACTGTGCGCGGTATTTGCCTTCGCCTAGAGGTCGGTCAACTTTTTGGCAATAATTAGGGAATGGTGCTACTTACTGTTCGTCATGATCGATTAGTTGCTGTCAGACGCAACCACGTCTTGTTTCAATAAGGTGATAAGATAGCTGTCGTGCAGGGTCAAAGCGAGTTCGCCTACTCGTCTGTGAACGAAGGCTGTAGGCACGTCTAGTTATGGGATGAGGTCTGGTACTGTGGACCGCTTACCGCAGCATCCTAGTAGCATGTCCTCATGGTATAAGGTTCAAACTTTGTCTCCGCAGAATACGTAAAGGCAGTGGTTCTCAGTACACCGGGTAGCTCCAGATGGAAAGCTAGTCCACTTCGTGCAGGATTGGAATAGTGAGCTGATTCGAGCATGCCGCAGGGCATTTCCCGGGCTGGGTTCGATCGCGAGAAGTGTTTACTGACATGGATTACTTACCAGCACAAGCTTGGTATGCGGTCGAAAGAGACAGCGCAATATCATTGCTCTAAAGGACAGATACAGGAGAGGACAATATGCACGACGGAATCCTGCTCTGAAAGGTGTCCCACCCCTGGTAAGGGAAAGCGCGTCATCGCCGTGTCCGACGTTCCCGAGGATGGCGTGCGCTCCAGCTAGTAGGGGCGGAGGATCTCCGTCTGGGTCTGGGACTTGCGGTAGGCTCCTGCGAGAAAGAGAAGAAAATTCGCGGGGACAATAGTGCGAGTCCAGTGGATGAGTGCAGAAGTCGAGCGGATGCAAGCGAGAATTTATATGTTGAGGTAGCTCATGCCACGTGGACGAGTGCGAGCGACCGGTTCGGGTCCTAAAGCCACTTCGCTTTTTCAGTCTTGATTATTCGGACGCCAACTACACATGTTGTACTCCGGGCTCGTTGCTTGAACAGAGGCGGCATAACCTACTGTATTTACAGACCATCTGTTTCCGACTGACTTTCCTTCCGCCAAATCGGCCGCTACGACACCAAAGTTGATTAGTCTCCATGCTCATCGGGCCTGCCACCTCTCGCTATCTTCATCTCGTCTTCAACCCCCGCCAACATGCTCGGCAGCGCCTCCCATAGCTCTCTACGGAGCTGCCTCTCCCGCTCGCAAAGCATCCCAGCGCAAATACCACAAATCCCCCGCGCACTCCCAACTTCCATCTCGTCGACCGTGGATTGCATGAACTCCCCCAAAGGGTCCGCATGGAGCCAGTGATTCAGACTGCCACGCAGGATACTCGTGCGCACACTCGCGGTTCCTGCATCGCACTGACCGTCCGTGCCAACGCAGTTTGCGCTCGCCTCTCCTTCGTACAGCTTTGCCGCCATCCAAGCCGACCGCTCGACCAGGCTCTCCCGAAGCAGGACGCACCGCTCGATGTCTTCCCGGTGAAGTCTCTCTAGTACTCCATCCGTACGACGGTGCCCGTGAAGGAGAGCCCTGTACGGAAGGCCGCAGGCGAGGTACAGAGCAACAACCATGTGCGGCGTGGTGAGATCGTCGTCCCCGATCGTGCGGAAGAGGCTGATTGCCTCGATTGCGTCTCCAGCAGAGAGACCCCCTCTGGTCTCCCATTCAGTGAATGTTGAAGGAAAGCGGTGGCGCAAGAGACAATAGGTCTCTTTGCGAATATGAAGCTTGTACTTGTGTGCCATCCTGACGTTGGACGTGAAGTCGGCGCATTCAGGAAGACGCACTGGCTCGACTTCACCCTCGCTGACGTTCGCAACAAGGTGGGATAGAAAGTGAGTGGCCTTCCTCCAATGTACTGAGCATCCACTTACCCAACTCCATTGTAGAGCATCCGCAGCAGGTGTTTAACGTCGTGGGCGGACTCCTCCAGACGGACAGTAGGACAGCCTGCTAACTGATCCTCGTCGCTTCGTCCCATGTCGGCAAGGACACTGGACCCGCCTGATAGCACGTACTTGTGAATGCGGAAGCCGACGTGTCCCGCAGTCATCATGGTGTCTCCGTCCTCAAACCAAAATTCCAGACATCTGATTGGCGTGTGATGGAATACGTTATCCTCCATGTGTAGTGCAAGAGCGATGAGTACGATGGACGATGCTATCGACAGGCAATCTCAACTGACGCCGATTCGTTACAGCCTCACATGATCGCCATTAATATTGCGCCCCAAGGTTCCAACTCAATCTTGTCGCGATCTTTCTGGTAGGCGCACACGGATGCACGGAAACACTTGTCTCGGTTTACAAAGGACGGAAATTCCGCGTTGACATTATCTCTCCCCATGAACGTTTCCTAACCCTATTGCCATCGTCCCGTTGAGTCCTGTCACGTGCGGTGTCCGCCCGCTTAATATAACTGCTCAACCCCGCAGGTGAGTATAGATGTACCCATCGTCGAGATTGTGTAAGCGCTTACTTCTGTTTGCTCTACTATCCGCTTCCTCAAAAGCCTACCAGCCTCGGAAGCTCATCCCAGAGCTCCCTCCTCTGCTCCACCTCCCTATCGCGGAGGGATTGCGCACAAGTTGAGCAAATTCGTCTATGCATTTTCTCATCCCTCTCGCTCTCGTCGATATGCCGTCGCCAATACGGTCCTAACGGGTCAGTCCGCGGGATGTCCTCGAATTTGCCGTTCACGATGTCCATGAAAGTCTCCTCGACGACCTTCCGACATTTGCATCTCGGATACGGCGGTTCCGTGAATAGTCTCATCGCCATGCACGCGGATTCCTTCACCATGTCTTCCCTCAGTGCCAAGCACAGCTCAACGTCTTTGCTGCTGAGCTTCTCCACAGTCCCATCGCTACGTCGATTCTCGGAGAGAAGGGTTTTGGGCGAGAGTTGGCAGCATAGGTACAGGGCTATAGGCATGAGGTCATCGCCTTGGATGTCCCGGAGGGCATTAATCATCTTGATCATATCCCGCGGACTGGGCTGCGTCGATCTGGTACCCTGGATGGCCCTCTCTTCGCGATTCATCCATTCGTCAAACGAGGCGGGGAGTAAACCCAGTATGTACTGATGGGTGATGTGGGTGGAACCAGCGAGTATGCGATCAGAGCTGACTTGCCGTAGGATCCTAGTACCAGCGCGTTTGTGAGCCTCATCATGGAGCTACATGCCAACGCCTCGCTTACTCAGATGGCCCTGGGTAGAGTAGACGTAGCAAGCCTTTGAAGCTCTTGGCGGAGTCCAGGATGCGGACGACGGCGCAGCTGTCGTATGACGTATCTCGGCGGCGATCGTTAAATCCCAGGCGATCCGCTAGAACGTCGGAGTGCCGACAGAGTATACTTCGATGGACACGGAACTGTGTTTCGTCTGCGATGATGACGATGTTGCCGTCCTCGAACCAGAAATCAGGATCGCGTGTGGGCTCATAGCGGCCCCGGAAGGCTGCCTCCACGTCAGGTGGTGGAGACGTTGCGCTAGGGTGGACTTCAAGGGTATTAGCATCGTCGTAAATCTCTTCATTGACGGCTTACAATGCATTTTAGAGGGCGATGCTAACGTGGACAGAATTCAAAAGAGATGCAAGAGTAGGTTCGAAGCATGAGACGCTTCGGCGCGCACGATTTCGAAGTTGATTACTGCGGTACAAACCTTCTCTTCACACGGTCATAACCGTCTTAGTTTCTTCGAAGGCTCGGATGACCTGGAGAGCTTCGTTGTAGCTTGCAGGAATGATATTGTTCAATAAGACTAGTAGAACTGGTTCCGTTCTTGGAACACCGTCGCAAGGTCCTGCGAACATGTATTTGAGGCGACGCGTAGGAGAACCCACTCGATGTGGTACTTGTGTGCCGCCAAAGTGTGAGAGGTTGCACTCGACTCCATCCTACAGCATGTGAACTGACTACTATAAATCATAGCTCGTGTCAGAGACGTGGATAACGGGGCAGTCATCATTCGGAACGTTGCTCTTCCGGCAACGGCCACAGCGTTCCCATCCACGAGCCACAGCTCTCCATCACGTACAGGTTCATCTGGCGTGATAGACAATGATAAGAGTTGACTTGTGTGTGGGTGATAATGGCATAGGCTGACGGTAGTGGGTACATCTGAACATTGACGTTCAAAGGTGAGCGCTAGCCGCCAGCCGAGACTGAGACTCTGCCGCAGCACCATGCTTCGGCAACATCCGCACCGTAGAGTAGACGTCCTTGGTCTTTTGAAACGACTCGGACCTAGAGATTCTCTCTGTACTGCCATCCTCATGTAAACATCGTGGGTAGGGGACCCCTCATACCACCTTACAAGAGACGGACACTTCTCACTCACTCTCATGCTTTCCCTAGGACACGTCTCAACAATGATGAACGAACTGCCTACCTATCCAAACCATGAACCTTACCCTCTACGTGAGGTCAAGCGGGACGACGAACTCTGGTTCGACGACGGAAACATAGTCGTGATAGCCCAGGACTGGGGGTTTCGGGTCCACAAGAGTGTTCTTGCCAGACGATCGGAAACGCTCCGCGACCTCTTTGCCATTCTTCAGCCACCCTCCGTCCCATCCGCGCTCGACGACACAATTGATGGTTGCCCGGTGCTTCACGTGTCTGACTCGAGCCATGACTTCAGGCAACTCCTGAGTGCAGTATACGGCAATATTGGGTATGCGAATCATGTGCTCTATCTCTGGATATTGCGCACCAACGTGCTGACACAGCCCTTGGCAGCTATCTCCTTCCTCACCGAGCAGTCGGATTTGCCGCTCTCGCCTTCACGACCAGTTTTGCCACTTGGAACGAATTGAATGGGTTTGAACGCTCGCCATTAGCCCTAGTTAGAGAGAATGCCATTGAAGCCGTCAACCTCTTTCGTATTCTCGACAAGCCCGAGATGCTTGCAACCGCCGTCTACGCCTGCTGCAGACTCAGCCCCGACAACCTAGTCAACGGATTCGAGCGAGCTGATGGAACCTCAGAGACCCTTAGCCCTGCTGATCTCGTGCTATGTCTGAAAGCACAGAGGGGGCTGTTGCGCAAGGACTCACTCGAAAGCTTCTCCAATTCATCGACTCAATGGCCTACGGCGACTGCGCGGATCCTTAGAGATGCGCCGCAAGCTTGAATACCCTCATGAATGACGCACGCAAGAAACCCGAAAGTCACAAGGATGCGAACCCCTTGGGTGATTGGTACACGTCGAGTGCGAAAAGTTTTTGGATGAGAGGGGTGCTCTGCGAGACATGCTCTCAACGTTCCGTGACAGACACTTTGAGCTGCGGCGGGAGGTTTGGATTTCTCTGCCTGGGTTGGTAGGCGTTAGTACGAATGGACGCTGGGGGCAACCCTTGTATTGAGTAACTCGTTGTGCGGTTTGAGAGAATTGCCACAATGTATCCGTGCTGTCCATATTCGTCGGCTATTCTACATCGCGGCTGTATACTCATGCATCCATGCAAGAATTCCTACAATGTAGAGCACATATCGCTCACACTATAGACGAAGAGAAAGCATGACTGGTTAACAACACCCATTTGCTGCATTATTTTCACGGTTCCGTGTATTTTTGAACCCTAGGAGTTCCCCTATCGACAAAATTGACTAGATGCTCGTTCTGTTAGATACAGTACTCATTACGATCCCCATCCTGTGATACTCATCCCCATGATATCCGGAAGCTTTCCCCATACTTTCTTCCGTAGCTCCCAGTGCCTGCTCTTCAATACTGCTAGACAATCGCGACACAATCGCTTCGAGAAGGGAGCATCATCAGACTCAAAAATCGAACTGAACTTGTCTAGGGGATCGACAAAGGCGAGATAAGACATGCCTCTCCGCGTCTCTTGGAGAAGGATTTTCAGGCCTTCTATGCAGTAGTCGCGCCTCTGACATTTGACTTCAGCGAGTCTTGTGACGAAGTATTCGGAAAACAGTGTCATCTGATCCACGGCCTCGCGGATAAGGCGCTTCTGGACCTTCCAGCAGAGCTCCAGGTCGGTAAGCTCGAGGCTTTCCCGCGTCACGCCGTCTGCACGGTCGACTCCATGAATGAGAACAGCGGGTGGGAGGCGGGAGCAGCCGCAAAGCGCAGTGGGGATCATGTCTGACCTCTGAAGGCGACGAAAGAGGTTGAGTGCCTCTATCGCGTTGTTAGGAACGAGTCCCAAGGGCGAGTCCGCTCCGAATCCACGCGATCGGTCCCAAACCTCGAGATCGGTATTGAAAGTGCGCTGTAGTCTGAAGATGACTGCATCCAGCAGCTGATCGAGCTGATACTTATGGCCGAGACGTGCGAGCGCGGCGAGAATGGGGAAGGATATAGTCTGTTCTGGATGAAGGTAGCTAATACGGATCGGCGTCATCAGCTGCACATAAACCAAAATGCAACAGCGCATCACGTACCTGACGCCACGGTATATCGCTCGGAGGAGTTCCCGAAAGTCGTAGCCCGTATCAGATACATACATGACCGTACATCCGTCTATCGCCTCGCTCTCTCCAGCATTTGGAGAGGGTTGGGGGACCGAGAAGAGCTCACGAAACACTTGGGAATGAGAGGCTAAGACAGATTTGTGGAAGCGGAAAGCAGTGCTTTGGGCAATGACGATGATGTTCCCGTCTTCAAACCATATGTCGGAGTCCCTTTGGAACCCCTCCAAAGATGGCGATGTTACTGGAGGATTGTTGAGATCCTCGTTGACGTACGAGGCGCCCAAAGGATCGGGACTCTGGGTGGAGATCGATGACATCTGTGCAGAGGAATCAGAAAGGGCTAGGAGCCATATATCACACATTAAACTCACAATGGCCTGCTCCGCGAGTAGAAAGTGCAGGATATTGAAGGAATGTTTCGACAAGAGGCCGGCACTGGCACGCGAGGAGTGGAACTTGGACAAGATTGTTATCAAGCTACTGTACTAGCTACATAAGAGCTGGGCGAAATCGCCGGGGAGGATCTTGGCGCTAAATGAGTGTTACGGGAAAGGAGGCTTCTGGGAGCAAAACGTTCCGACACGGGGAATCGAACCCCGGGCTATCGCGTGAGAGGCGATAATGTTAGCCACTACACCATATCGGATTAGATCTGGTCGTTTTGTGATAGTATACATCCGCCTATTCAGCTCGCTGTATGCCCAGGTGGTGAAGGGTCGCAGGTCGTCGGAAACCAAGCTCTCGCCTCCCGGGTTCGCCATAGACATATGGCTCGTCCGCATAGGAACTCGAAGATGCCTCGCCTCACAAGACACTCGGACCGAGGTAAGTACCCGGTCCAATTGCTTCACACTGTGTCCTAATACACAGGCTATTCCGCACATTGGATAGAGCAAGTGAGTCTTTCAGACGTACGTTTCTCTCCAAGGCATGATCTTTGATTTTCAAACCGACATCGTGCCACCCGCTGACTACGGAAGGGACTCGCCTTGAAGTCAGATCAGCGTTATCCGCCTGCACCGCACGATCGAATATCCTTCCTGCTGCTGTGCTCACCATCAACATCTGTCGGTGTTGGTATCATCACGATCGATACAAGAGCCTCTCGAACGGACAGCCTTCGTATAAGTAGGCCTCACATCAGGCTGCATTTCGCATACTTAACACATGATCCCGAATCAAACACGCGTACATAGCACGACAGCTAGAGTCGGTACCAGGCCGAGGCCGACCCCAACGTGTGGACTCAACCACCGCAGAGATAACAGCGCTGTTGGCCCTTCGCTTCGGCATCGCGGCATCGCTGAAAATACCCCGAGACGGGATGAGGTTACGTGCAAAGGCACTGACCAAATCACTCGATTGGCCTATCCGAATCTATCCTGAATGCTCTGAAGAATACATCAAGGGCCAGTCGCGTAGGTTCAGGGATCAATATCCTGATACTTGGCGATATATGCAGGATGCAAGTTCACGCCGGGACTCATCGTGGAACCTACACCACACCGGTGTTACTCACGATGCCGAAATCGCGGTGGGATGCCGGCGCGCGAATGGAAGCGTTGAATTCAAGCTCGTAAGTCAGCTTGCATTCCGCATTGAGGATGACGAGAAAAGCCAGGAACGGAGCGTTCTGATGTCAGCGTATTTTTGCCTGGCGGGGGCTTGGGTAGACGTTGGTTGCTGGCAACCCACTCAGGACCGCATGGGCAAGTGATGCCGCGTCGGACACGCGACGAATCCGGCGCAGAATGGAGGCGTGATACGAAAACTGCTGGTGGCTGAACTTGACACCAACGTAATGTTGAAGGTTGTGCGGCGGCAGAAGGGAGCGTTGTGGCAGACGTCCAGTTCTATGAAGAACAAAGGGTGGGATGCGGGACGTCGTGGAGTGGGTGAAAAGAAGGATAAACGAAGGGCCTTGGGAGACCGAGGACAGGGCAGATCAAGTTGGGAATACGGTTGGTCGGGATGACAACGCGCGCTCGGCAGGGGATGATGAGTGATGTTGGGCATTCGCGCGCTGGAATGGATGTGTGCCTTGTGGCTCGGCGTCGAACAAACGGCATCGAGGGCGTCGAGTATAAAGTCCATCTTCGGTGCACGGTGGCCATCCATTCTCCTCCGCTCGACAGCTGGAACTTCCGTCTCTCTCTCTCTTACGCCGGGCGTACCTCTGTTCTCATTGCCTTGTCCGACCGAGCTTGACGCTTGACGACGCAGCGCGCCCCGCCGTTCATTCCTTACACGAGAGATCTCCCTGGACCGCTTCCCCACACTCTTTAGCATACCCGTTTAACGTCATGAAGTTCTCCACCGCCGTCCTCGCCGCCGCTGCCATCGCCGCCTCCGTCAACTCGCGCCCACTCCTCCGCCGCGACGTCAACTCTGCGCTCATTCCCGAGTTCGGCGTTTCTGCGGGTGTCAGCCCCGACGGCACTGGGTGCGCGCACGTCCTTGTTTACCTACTGAGTTCTGTACATTGACCTCTGGCTGCACACAGCAACTGCAAGGGTGTCAACAACATCAACATCCCCTGCTCGTGCCCGCCCGACCGCAATTCGTTCATCGCCCAGCTGAATGCGAACGTGAACGCCGGCTTCGCCATCAACAACCCCTCCGTCCACCTCTCCTTCCCCGAGGACGGCTCCAAGGCGTCCCAGCTCGCCCGCTTCAACGCCGCGACCGTCACCCTCCAGAACCTCCACGGGCCTGGCGTTGGGTGCCCTCAGGCGGCGACGACATGGGGCGCGCAGGTGGCCGCCATCCAGGCTGAGCCCGACACCCCGGCTCCCCCTCCGCCCCCCGCACCTGCCCCTCCTGCTCCCGCTCCCGCTCCTGCGCCTGCTCCGGCCGCGGGTGGCGTCGACCCGGCGCTCGTCCCCGACTTTGGTGTCGTCCCGGGTACGGCTCCCGATGGCACTGGCAACTGCAAGGGTCTCAACAACATCAACATCCCTTGCTCGTGCCCGCCGTCGCGCTCTGACTTCCTTGCTGTACGTCTGCCTTGTCCGCTCTAACTGCGCGAATGTGCTGCTCACCTCTTCATGAATGTAGTCGCTGAACGCGAACGTCGCCGCCGGCCACATGATCAACAACCCGCCGATCGCGGCGCCGTTCCCGACGAGCAACTCGAAGGCGGACCAGCAGGCGCGCATTTCGACCCTGCTCTCGACGCTCCAGAACCTGCACGGTCCTGGTGTCGGCTGCCCCGCTGTCTCGACCGTGTACGGACAGTTGCAGCAGCAGATCAACGCGCTCCCCAACTAAAGTTAGCGTTAAGCTGGTTGGGTTTGAGCAGACGTTGTGTTGTGAGCAGGGCGATGGGAGAGAGATACCCCGATGAGGATACCTACGGTAGTTTATTAAGGCTCTTTGTACGACGACGTCTGCTAGGTAGTCACGGTCCAAATGACGGGTGCCAGTCACCTTGTTCCAGCCGTCGATCATTCTCTTGCGTGCTCGAGTTCTGTGTGAGTTTCGTGAGCAAGGTGCGTATGCATCGCCATCAGGAGTGCGTAAGTATAGGTGCGAGCTGCGAGCGATGGACAGGTGGTGATGAAGACGGTCCGGCTGGCTCGGGCGAGGATGGCTGGGTGCAACGGGCTGCGCAGTCTTGGTGGTTGCATGAAACCCAAGGCCAAGGAATGTGTGCGAGGGCTGGGTCCAGAATATTTGTGCGGTGGGATGGACGAAAAGACGGAGGCGGGGGAGGTGCGCGATGCAAAGCGCGGCGTGGGAATCGCGCAGGGGCCGCGGCGCAGGGGCCGCCAAGACAACCACCATCGCAGCTGCCCATCGCTGCCCATCGCTGCCCGACACTGCTCCTCCTCCCCGACCGTCCCCGACCGTCCCTCTCCTGGAAACTCACTTTCTCCTCCAGACCACCACCGCCACACTCCCTGCTTTCCGGATATACGTCTTGCTGGTCTAGTTCGACGCGACACCCAACTTCTCCATCTATCTCCGACCGCTTGATTCCGCTATCTGTCAATTTCCATCTCCATCTCCATCTCTGCCTTGCTGGGCAGTGGCACATAATTTGGGACTATGGCCTCACCGTACCCGGCGTACAGTCCACGCATGCCTTCCTCAAACGTCCACTACTCAAATATCAATACAAATGCATCATATCCATATCCCCCTCACAGTCGCTACGACGCCAGCGCCGCCTCGCTCGACAGTGATTCCTCTACAGAGCACGAAGGCGAGCCCGTCAAGCCTGCACAGAAGGAGTATGGCTACGGTGACCGCCAAGCGCGACCTGGCGTCGCAGTAGACGTGAGGGCGATCAACCGGACCCCCAGTCCCACACCGAGCGAGGCCGAAGAGCTCAGTAAGGGTATCCTTGACTGGGACCGCCTGCTCAAGTGGAGGTATTGGGTTCGCAGGGAATGGCTCTGTGAGTTACACATTCCCTGGGACATCGTGTGCTGCACTTCTAACGAGCGGGCCGGTAGGGTACTATGTGATTTTCGTTGTTGCGTTGACCGGTGGTATCCTCTTCACGGTCTACCACAAGAAGATCGTGAACTGGCTGAAGCCTGCGGCTGATTGGATGCACGAGTGAGTACCGCCATCCCGTATATTCCCCGTGTTCGTCGCAGGTAAGCCGGCGTCGAACCTGGTAATGGGGCGCGAGGGGTGTCGCTGCACTCAATTGTCTTCCAGGCTGCGGCCTGTCTCGCCTCTCATCGCCATCTCGATACTGACCTGCTCCTCTCACAGTCTACCTTACGGCTGGCTGATCCCAATCGGTGTCTTCTTCGTCATCTCCTTCCCTCCTTTGTTCGGTCACGAAATTGTGGCCATCCTCTGCGGTCTGGTCTGGGATCTCGGTCCTGGCTTCGCCATCGTCGCGGCAGGGACGTTCATCGGTGAATTAGGAAACTTCTAGTGAGTCTCGTATTGCCTGCCTGTCAAGAAGGCGGACGCTAATATGAAATCGGCCGTGTCCTTCTCTTCAAGTGCGTTCAAGTACTGTTGTGCAGCTCGCGGAGAGAAACTCGAGAAGACGAAGCTCCAGTATGCGTGCCTGGCTCGCGTCGTTCGGGATGGAGGCTTCAAGATTGCGCTGATCGCGCGTCTGAGTGCCATCCCCGGTCACTGTGCGTCCCAAGTTTCTCATGCCACTCTTTCATTGCCGACGTGTGCTGATCTCAATGTCTGAAGTTACCACTGCTGTGTTCTCCACCTGCGGCATGGGCGTCATTACCTTCTCGATCGCTGCGATTTTGTCGCTTCCGAAGCAGTTCATTACCGTCTATCTTGGTGTCGCGCTCGAGCAGTCCGAGGACGGCACTAGCAGCACGAAGGACACCATCATCCGGGACGCCGTGCTCGGCCTGACAACGCTCATGACCTTCGGCGCGATGTGGTACATTTACCACAAGATGAACCAGGCGAAGCCGCTCGTCATATACGACCGCCGCAAAGCCCGCCAGGCGAAGCTCATGGAGATGTCTGGCGCTGCCCCGAGCCTGCCGTACGGCAGTGGCAACTCTGTGATGCTCGAGTCTACAACCTCTGTCTCGTTCAACCCCGCTGCGTCGAGCGCTGACATCCCTCTCACGAAGTATGGTCAACCCCAATCTCAGTACCAGTCTCAGCCAGGCGTTTATGCGCCCCGCCCCCAGCGACCGGGCGAACAGTACCCCATGAGCCAGTACAGCAACGGCAGCCACGCACTCCCTCCTGGCGCTGGTTATCCCTATCCTACTCCTGCATCGCAACTCCCTTCTCGCTCTGTCGCGTCCCCGCCCAGGGATCCGTTCTCAGACGCCGCACGTGTACCGAACTACTCATCACCTCGTCCCCAGCCCCCTTCTCAACCTCAGCCACAGGGTATCTCATACCAGCGCCAAGCGCCTCCGCGAGGGTACGGCTCGCCGCCACCTGATATGTTGGATAAGCGAGGTGGTGGATCCCGCCCTCCGCATACGTACACCCAATCCACTCCCGCAGCACAGAGACTCTCGAGTCCCCCTCCGCCAGCTGCACGCCCGCCCCCGCCTTCTGCACCGCAATCGCCAACACCGCGAAACTACCCCGCCCCGACAGGTCCTCCACCTTTGCCGAGTATGTCTGGGCAGCCACCGCGGACGTCCGGGGACGGGACGAACCCTTTCGCGGACCCCAGCCCTATGCCTAACCCCTATGAGCAAGGGAGGCAAGGGGGAGGACATGTAGAGGAACCGAGTGACGCGACCTTCTACACTGCTGCGGGGGGGCACTCACGTGGGGGCACGGAGTTTGACGCGGCGTACGAGGCGACGAGCATGGCGAGCACGGAGGGTTCCGCGCCGCCTGCGTACGATGAGCATAGGCACGCGCAGTGAGTTAGTTCATGATATGATACCTGCACACGCTCGTTTGGCTCCTGGACCCTGAGGCCACTATTGTATGTATCCACCCTACCCGTCCTGTTCGTCGTACCCCGCACCTCGCATCTCGCATTCTGCACCCCGCACTGTCTCTCGCATAGCATATACACTACGCAAGACGCACCCACACCCGCCGTCAGTACGTCCCCGCATTGGCTGCAGTATATATGTACATACTACAGTAATCCGCGCGAGGGCTGCTCTGCGCGGCGCCGGCGCGCGGGAGTGGTGCAACGTGCGGATCTATATCCCGCCCTGCATGGACTTTTCGCAGATACCAATTCTACATTGTGTGTTCGCTGCGCCTGCGCATGCTGAGGCTGTGATGAGTGGTAGAATGGGGAAGTGCGTCTGTGTTCGATGGCGGTGCAGCCGCAGCTGCTCTGCGGTCTGCCAGGGCGTTGAAATTTTGGTGGTCGGAAGTAGGCTATTCGAAGATTGTCGTGGAATGGCAGAGGCCCTCAAGGTACGTATCATTGAACGGTGTTGGAGATCTGCGACGAGGAGCCTATGTCGAACGGCATGCTTTGAGTATGGACGCACTTGTGTAAATTGTATATACATGTAATAGTGAGATCAAAGGGCAGACGCCGAAGAAGCAGCTCTCCAGGCGGCGAAGCGCCGCCCCCTACTTGCAGAGTCGCTGGTACTGCGCTTTCAAAATTCACCAGGCGAGCAGGCCAGGACCATGTACTTATACGATGCCTGCGTGCTTTTCGAGTTCGAGCCTGCCGCTTCCCCATCTCGTATCCGTCCGTGCATATACACTCGCTCCGCCTCGTTCTCGACACAGCGACTCGTATACTCATAGAGCAGGATCCGCCTCCAGCCGAGATGATCAGCATGCCTGTACAGCAAGACCCGTTGCCCATGACCACTACTTCACTAGCAGGAAATGGAAAGCCAACGAAAAGCGACGCTGTGCCTGCGATATCTTTGCGCAATGATGATCACAACGCGCATGCGAAGCGGTCCATGTCCAAGGACATCCTCCTGATATGTACGGTCACGTTTGCCGCGATTCTCAACGTGAGTGCTTCTCTCATATGCACGTTCGCACGCCTGATGTATGAGTTAATTGACTAGACTGCAAACTCGACTGCCGTGTCTTTGTCACTCCCGACCATAGGGAGGGACCTCAACATTGCTGAGTCTAATCTGCAATGGATAATCTCTGCCTACTCGCTAAGCTCGGTGGGTCTTCCCGTTCGCAATTGCGCTCTAACCTGCAAATCAAATCTGCGATATCAGCGCACTTATCTCGCGCGTATCGCAGGGATGTCTTCTTCTCTTCCTAGGGCGGCTCGCAGATCGATTCGGCGTAAGCTCACCTTCATCATCGGATGCGCATGGATGGGTATCTTCGGCTTGGGGTGTGGGTTCGCCCAAGGTGCGTACGCCCTATCATTCAGTGAGCTCGTATGCTAAAACGCCCCACTATCTATCTATGGTGAGATTACCTTGGACATTTTGCGTGGGCTCCAAGGCCTCGGTCCTGCAGCTGCTACGCCAGCTGCTGTGATTATACTCTTCACTCGTGGGCATGTACGCAGCACTGACCGTTTCCTAGATCGGTATTCTAGCGCATACATTCCCTCCCCCACCCCGCCGCTCTATCGCGTTTGCGACCTTTGCTGCAGGTGCACCGGTCGGCGGGGTAGTGGGGAACATTATAGGCGGCGTCCTCACACAGTGTACGGCGTACGTCCACTTCTCATGTCCCTTCGGATCGTGACTTTGCCTGACGTCTGAAACAGTCAAAGCTGGCGCTCGACATTCTGGTTTATGACCGGCCTGAGCGCTCTTTGTTGTCTTGGAGGATTGATTTCTATCGATGCGGACGTCCTGTACGCGCTCCCGGACAAGTGCGCTCATATGCTAGGGCTGTAGGATGGCGCTGTTGCTGAAGTCTTCTCTACAGGCGCATCGACTGGCTCGGGGCCTTCCTTGTCACCACTGGCCTTATTTCCATCGCCTTCGTCCTTAGTGATGGCACCACTGCGCCCGATGGCTGGAAGACTGGATGTACGCAATGCCTCTATATATCACGTATCTCGCCGAAAAGCTGACAATATGGTATCTTACTCTATGTCCACTTCAGACATCATTGCGCTCCTCGTCGTCGGCGTGTTCTTCCTTGTGCTCTTTGTCCTTTGGGAACGCTTCCTCGAACGCGTTCATGCGCAGGACGGAGAGGTTAGCCAGAGGTGGTGGACGCCGCCTCCGCTGATGCTTGTGTCTATCTGGGGACGGGCGAATGGCCGGCTTGCGGCGATGCTAGCTATCGCGTTCTCCGAGTGGTGTAGTTTCAACTCGTTCCTTTTCTGGGTTCAGGTGCGTATGTATGCAAATAGCTACGTGTTCCTGATTGGGCTGAAGGCACTGGATAGCTGTATTATCAGGACTACTTGGGCTTGAAGCCGATCCTGACTATGGTTCGGCTATTGCCCATGTGGGCCGCGGGCGTGACTTGCAACGTGATCGTTGCCCTCGTTGTCGGCCGCGTCCCCATAGTCTATCTCGTCGGTACGTACCTCTCCCTTCGGCGGAAACCCATGCGCTGACCTTTCGTATTGGAACGCAGTGATCGCCATGCTCTTCACCGGGGCCGCCAACCTCCTTTTCGCGGTGATCGTCCCATCCGCACCCTATTGGGCATTCGGCTTCCCCGCCGCGATCATCAGCGTCGCCGGCGCCGACTTCATCTTCGTGACGGGCACGCTCTTCATCACGCGCGTCTGTCTTCCGCACGAGCTGAGCATTGGCGGGACGATCTTCCAGACTATCAAGCAGCTCGGCACAGCGTTCGGGCTCGCAATCAGCACGGTCGTGTTCAACACGACGTTAAAGAGCAGGTCCGAGAGTCTGGGGGTGGCGTTGAACGAGGGAGGGACGAACGCGCCGAAGCCAGCGCAGCTGACGGCGTATAAGGATGCCATGTGGAGCGGGGTTGCGTTTGCGCTATTTGGTGAGTATGCTGCTCGTTACCCGGATTGGCTGAGAGCTTCTTTGGAGCGCTCACCCTTCTTGTGCATAGGTGTCCTGCTTGCTGTTTTCTTCGTTCGTGGGGTAGGCATCGTCGGGCACCGAAAAGCTGACAGTGATAGCAAGGGCGAGAAGGCTACGCATGTGTCCAAAAAACCAGATATTGAAGCTGTATGTCCACTGTGGGTGCTTGCCATCCGTGGCGATGTGATCACTGAACATGTGCCCTTTTGCAGATTAATGAATCGGACTCGGACTAGAACAATCCCGCTTACTGCTTCGAAACGTTACCTCCAAGTCGCCGCGCAGCAGAGATCTTTCCGCCAGATCTTCTTTTCAACCGCAATACCCCCGACGACATGCTTCTCTCAACATTACCCAGCACGGCTAGATAGCCCCGCAGACGTCCCGCGCCTTAACGAGCACGTTCGCAGACCCCAATCTGTACATGTCCAATCCCTGGAGCTAGAATGCATGCGGATGTGCTGAATGACGTGAGATTCTGACTTGCCGCTAGTACTTCCGGGGCATTACAGAATTCTACGTGGCACTTACAGACCACGAGCCCCGAGAGTTCGGCGCCGCCTTCGTACGCGTTGCTCATGGGCATGCGACACGAGTATCCTCGGCATTAGCACGATTCCTTCCGCGGTTCTGCATGCATGGCCTCTATCAGGGTTAACTCGGCTCCTACTACCGAGTATATCTGTATCCCCCATCTCGATCATGGCATCCCCCATCCTCCATTCGGGACTGCGTACTGTTCTGGCATTGCATATACGTACTATACTGCTGTAGCCCGCACGATGCTTGGGGGTTGCCTCTCATCAGAACCTATTCCTCCTACGAACACTGTCCGCAGATAACAATTCTATGTCGTTTCATCGCCTAGCACTCGTACCATGGATGTGCCCGGTGGTAGGCAATTTGTAGTACGACCAGACCGTGTCCAAGGCGATGAGACTGTCCTACTCGGGGTCTCCATGTCGCGATTCTTGTCGTCCGAATAAAGCATGACGGGTGACAGCGAGTGTCTAGCCCGCGCGGCATTTTGGAGTCGAACGCAGAGAGCGTCTGAAGGTTGGTGCCTCTTGAGACGCGCGTCGCTAGTAAGGTTCTAAGCTTGTTACCAACCAGCTCCGTAAGCCGCTCATTGTGAGCTGCGGACCCTGGGACAGTGTGTGGTCATGGTCGCACTAAAGACGCGAGTAGGCGTCTCGTCGTAAAGTTCATCTGCAAGGGCTTTGGCAGATGACCAGGATATGTCGATGCAGCAGGGAAGTGCTGAGTGCTCACAGCAAAATAATGACGTGAGACGACTAACGTACAGTATGCATGGTTCTCTTGCAATCGCACCACTCGGCGCTGTTTCATGCAGACTGCGACAGTCCATGAGTAGGGTCCTCATTGCATCTTGGACTGCGAGACGCCTCCGAGGTGCGCGAGTCTCGCGGACGGACAACGGTTGCTCAGCGCTCAGTACTACGATCGGGCAAGAGATCTCGATCCGTTTGACCGTGGCTGCGTCCGAGACGCTCGTGGTAAGTACTACTTACTTCACGACTTCGATCATGCATCCCCCACTTCCGAGCCCAGTCCCCCCGCGTCCTCTCCGCCATTGTATACACGCTCGTTTACCCCATTCCTCTACCTCTACAAAGAGTCTCCTATAATACAGACCTTCGAATCCCTTGCAGAGATGTCCGTACACTCAGACACCATCCCTACATCTCCTCGCTCACTCGCAGAGAAGCCGAGAGCGATGGAGAATGACGACACCTTATCCCCGACTAATATGCTCAAAGATAACCAACATCTCCATACTAGGCGGTCTATGTCAAAGGATATCATCCTCATCGCCACTGTTACGCTTGCCATGCTCCTCAACGTAGGTGCTTCTCTCATCTTCGTGTTCGCACCCGTCATCTGTAGCACGCATTCCTCAGACGGCCAACTTGGGTGCCGCGGCCATATCGCTTCCAACCATTGGCAGGGACCTCAACATCTCCGAGGCCAAGCTACAGTGGATCATCTCCGCCTACTCCCTCAGCTCAGTGAGTTCTTGCGTACTCACTCGCCTCCTACCCTACATCTCCGTGTGATTTCCCATGCTTATCTAATATCGTTCAGGGTTGTCTTCTTCTGTTCCTAGGGCGGCTCGCCGACCTGTTTGGTCGCAAGATCGTCTTCATCGGCGGCTGCGCGTGCATGGCCATATTTGGCCTCGGTTGCGGGTTCGCCCAGAGTGAGTAAACCGATCCCTTCGGCAAGCTCGTATGCTGAAGTGTCCTACCGCCTAAGATTCTATCACCATTTACATCTTGCGTGGACTCCAAGGCCTCGGTCCTGCAGCCTCCGTGCCGGCGGCTGTCAGTGCAATCTCTGCGCCCGCTCTTCTACGGAAAGCTGACTTTCCACCAGCTCGGCATTCTTGCTCATACTTTCCCTCCTTCACCTATCCGGTCTATAGCTTTCGCCACCTTCTCTGCCGGCGCTCCCGTTGGCGCGGCAGTAGGGCTCGCCATCGGTGGTGTCCTAACGCAACTGACGGCGTACGTTCTTACCCACTTCCGGTCCAGGCTCTTTATCTGACATCTCATTCAGCCAGAGTTGGCGCTCGACATTCTGGTTTCTTACCGGTCTGAGCGCTCTATGCTGCTTAGGTGGACTCATCTCTATCGAAGCAGATGTCCCTTACGCGCTCCCGGATAAGTCAGTATATACGCATAGTTTTGAGGTGCGGTGGTACTGACGCTCTTGTATAGGCGTATAGACTGGCTCGGAGCCTTCCTCATCACCGCTGGTCTCGTATTCGTGGTTTTTGCCCTCAGCGACGGCCCTATCGCACCTGATGGCTGGAAGACTGGATGTACGTACTGTACTCTCTCTCGTACCATTTCGGGACGCTGATACTGATGTGATCGGACGTCATATTCCCTCCAGATATTATTGCACTCCTCATCGTCGGCGTGTTCCTCATTGTGCTCTTCGTCCTCTGGGAACGCCTGCTCGAACGACTGCATGCGCAGGGCGGAGAAGTCAGCCAGAGGTGGTGGACGCCGCCTCCGTTGATGCCTGTGTCGATCTGGGGGCGGGCAAACGGCAAGCTGGCGGCGATGCTCATTGTTGCTTTCGTCAGCTGGTGTAGTTTCAATTCGTTCACGTTCTGGGTCCAGGTGTGTATGCATATGTATGTGGAGCAGGTCTGACTGTGTGTTGAGTCTGGGATGCGCAGCTGTACTACCAGGACTACGTCGGCTTGAGCCCGATCCTCACCATGGTCCGGCTCTTGCCCATGGCGATTACGGGCGTGTTGTGCAATGTGATCATCGCCGTCGTTGTCGGTCGCGCACCCTTAGTCTTCCTTGTCGGTACGTTATGCTACCCTGGGTTGACTCCGCATACCATTCATACTGATCCCGCGGCTACCAACAGGCGTCGGCACGCTCTTGACTGGAACCGCAAACCTCCTCTTCGCCGTGATTGTCCCCTCCGCGCCATACTGGGCCTTCGGCTTCCCCGCCGCCATCATCGGCGTATTCGGCGCAGACTTTGTCTTCTCAACGGGTACACTCTTCATTGCACGCGTCTGTCTGCCTCACGAGCAGAGCGTCGGGGGCGCTCTCTTCCAGACGCTCACCCAGCTGGGCACAGCGTTCGGCTTGGCCATCAGCACGGTCGTTTTCAATGCGACGCAGAAGAATCAGGCGGAGAGCTTGGGGGTGACGTTGAATCAAGGGGGGACGAACGCGCCGAAGTCAGCGCAGTTGACGGCGTACAAGGATGCTATGTGGAGCGGGTTCGCATTCGGGCTTTTCGGTGAGTCTGCTTTTCATCGTGAGCACGTGGAGAGGACGTTCGTGGTTGACCAATGCATCTATGCGCAGGTTTCCTGCTTACTGTTCTATTCCTACGTGGGGTTGGTCCCGTCGGGCACCGGAAAGCGGACAGCGACGACGAGAGTGAGAAGACAGCGCTCGAGCCGGCAGACCGCGGTTCAGGCGCGGTACGTCGGCTGTGATTACACATCCATGTTGCTGTGACCACTCACGACGTTCGCATCTTGCAGATCAACATGTCTGATTAGGACGATCGACTAGGACGATCCTGCTTGCTCCCCAAAATGATTTGCTCGGGTTTCTATGCAGGAGAATATGTTTCCGCTGTCTGTCGTATGTACGGCCCGCGTTCCCTATCATGACATGCTCCCCCATAAGCTGAAGAACCACACACATCCCGCTGCGTGCGTTCCCTCCACATGCGGCGACATAGCGCAACTACGCCGTATCGCCAATTCCCTCGCCCTTACCTAGCAGGGCCGCTTGGACAGCCGCCTGGCGAGGTGATGAACCCATCTAGATCTTCACGAGGAAGGGAGGCAAGGACGAGGCATGTGGAGGAGCCGTGCAATGTGACATTCTGTACAGTTGTGGGGGCCCATTCGCTCGGAGGCACCGAATCTTACGCAGTATACAGAATGAAGAGCATGGTAAGTCCTACGGGCTCGCCGCTGCCTTGGTATGACAGCACGGGCACGGGCACAACCGTGCAATGTGAGTCGCATTTTATGCCCGTACACCTTCGTTCAGTTCCTGATTCCTTTCGGTCCACTGTTGTGACAATTCACCCATATCATATCTATCGCCATCCTTGACACCCAACACCTGGCATTGCGCATCCTGCTTTCGGCACTCGTTAGTACTCGAAGCTGTCTCTGACATACCATGTATGCTGCGCGAGACACGTGTGCACACACTATCCGTCCGTTCCCGCATCAGATGAATTATGAGTAGGTACATACCGTGCTACTAATCCGCCGCATCGCGTCGCACATACATACAGTATATAGGTCCGCGTTGCGTGCGGATCTATACCCCCCTGCCATGCATGCCAGTGGACAAGTTCGCTGATAGTCATCTCACGTCGTATCTTCCCTACAACCACACCAGCTTGGGCTGTGATTGGTGCGTACTGTTACCCATAGTGCTGTAGCGCACGATCGTACTTCCAAGTCACCTCTCTCTCAGATGAGTGATTGCTTGCTAAGCCAAATGTTCATGTCAGCCTTGGCTATCAGCTGCAGACCCTCCAATGATGGTGAGTAGAAGTTAGCTTCGATGGCGGTATTATGACTTTCCAGTTTTCGATCTTTGTCAGGATGAAGCTTGGGTACATACGTTTAACGGTGGGATTTGGAGGGCCCCCGGGGACGGTTGTCGAACCTGCCAGTGAGTAAATGTGTCCAGCGGCAGTCCCGAGGTTACTGACCCACTTCCTAGGGCGATCGTGCGTATGATGGCAGTGCGCAATTGTTGTCATTAATGATCTCGGCTCACATCGAGGCGTTTACAGTTGGTCATGGATTCTTGTCTCGTGATTGACCTCCGAGAGACGGACGGATGCTGAGTACGACGCCTTCCGGAAAAGGGCGTCAGACTCCCACGGTCGCCAGATCTCGATACTTGGTGTACATAGGAGTACTCTGTACTTACTACTTTGTACTGACACTCAAAAATTCGGCGGCCATGATGCGTGCTTGACTGGAGCTCTGTGTTCAGTGCCCCCCACCTGCCCTCCGGTCGGCTATACCTACTCTCGCTCTGTCTGGTTCCTCGGCGCAGCAGCGACTCGTATACCCGTCCGCCTCTTCCTCGGACTCCCAAGATGTCTGTTAAGCAACACTCGTCCCCCACACCCACTCGCTCTGCCACGGAGAACGAGAAGCTCCCGGAGGGCGATGCCACGTCCGCGACCTCTGTTCGCAAACATGGCCGCGATACGCAAGTCAAGCGGTCGAGGTCCAAAGACATCATCCTCATCTGTACCGTTACCCTTGCCATGATCCTCAACGTGAGCGGTTCTCTCATATTTGTTCTCGCACCACACTCAAACTACTCGATTCAATAGACGGCCAACCAGACTGCGGTGTCTATCTCGCTCCCGACCATAGGCAAGGACCTCAACATCGTCGAGTCCAAGCTGCAGTGGATCATCTCTGCCTACTCGCTCAGCTCCGTCAGACTCGCGTCCCTCCCCGTATCCTCGCGTTTACAGCCTTCTCATTTGAGTGCTGTAGGGATGTCTACTCCTGTTTCTAGGACGACTGGCCGATCTGTTCGGACGCAAGATCATCTTCATTGCCGGGTGCGCATGGATGGGCATATTCGGTTTGGGATGCGGCTTTGCTCAGGGTAAGCACTTTTGCGAACGCGACCAGCGAGATTGTCCGCTAAAGCTCCCCGCTACATCAGATGAGATCACCATGGATGTACTACGTGGGCTGCAAGGCCTTGGTCCGGCAGCGTCCGTGCCAGCTGCTGTGAGTACTCCCTTACCACCTGGTGCACACATGCAGAAAGCCAACCCTATGCTAGCTGGGGATCCTCGCGCATACATTTCCCCCCTCACCCATTCGGTCTATCGCGTTTGCGACCTTTGCCGCAGGTGCCCCTGTCGGCGGGGCCATAGGGAACACCATCGGCGGTGTCCTCACACAGCTCACGGCGTGCGTCTCAATTCATGTCGGGATGAGATGCTGTCTGACTCCCACATTGACGTAGTCAGAGCTGGCGCTCGACATTCTGGTTTTTGACCGGGCTGAGCGCTTTATGCTGCCTCGGTGCATTGATTTCCATCGATGCTGACCTCCCGTACGCGCTTCCAGATAAGTGGGTATTCATGTGGAACTTTGAGGCCCGCGTCGGTACTGAGGCTTTCTCAACAGACGCGTAGACTGGCTCGGAGCCTTCCTTGTCACCGCCGGCCTCGTTTTCATTGTCTTCATCCTCAGTGACGGGCCCATTGCGCCCGACGGCTGGAAGACTGGCTGTACGTAGTTGTCTATTCTTCTTACCGTGCAACGAGACTGACAGATGTTGTGTTCACATGCACCCTCCCTCGCTTCCCTCAGACATCATCGCGCTCCTCATTGTCGGCGTCCTGTTCCTGGTTTTATTCGTCCTTTGGGAGCACTACCTCGAACGTGTTCATGCGCAGGGCGGGGATATCAGTCAGAGGTGGTGGACGCCGCCCCCGTTGATGCCTGTGTCGATCTGGGGACGGGCGAACGGCAAGCTGGCGGTGATGCTGATCATCGCATTTGTCGAGTGGTGCAGCTTCAACACGTTCGTTTTCTGGGCGCAGGTGCGTATATGCGCTCATGTAACCTAACCCGAATGTGCGCTGAATGCGTCGGGTAGCTGTACTATCAGGACTACTTGGGCTTGAGCCCGATACTGACCATGGTCCGGCTTCTGCCCATGTCTGTGATGGGTGTGACTTGCAACGTGATCGTCGCCCTCGTCGTTGGCCATGTTCCCCTAGTCTATCTCGTCGGTACGTACCTCTCCTCCTGGTCCAAGTAATAGCCCGTTTCCCAGCTACTGACTTTTCGTACGGGAATGCAGCCATCGGCACGCTCCTCACAGGGACCTCGGACCTCCTCTTCGCGGTCATCGTTCCCTCGGCACCCTACTGGGCCTTCGGCTTCCCCGCCGCCATCATCACTGTATTTGGCGCCGACTTTGTCTTCGCGACTGGCACACTCTTCATCGCACGCGTCTGCTTGCCGCACGAGCAGAGCGTTGGAGGTGCGATCTTCCAGACGCTCACCCAGCTGGGCACAGCGTTTGGCTTGGCGATCAGCACGGTCGTTTTCAACGCGACGCAGAAGAGCAAGGCGAAAAGCTTGGGGGTGACGTTGAATGAAGATGGGACCAACGCGCCGAGGCCGGCGCAGTTGACGGCGTACAAGGACGCTATGTGGAGCGGATTCGCGTTTGGGCTGTTTGGTGCGTTTGCTACTCGCTTCTTGAGAGTACGAGTTTGGCCTGACTCGTATGTGCACAGGGTTCCTTCTTGCTGTGTTGTTCCTTCGCGGTGTTGGCGTCGTCGGGCACAGGAAAGGCGATAGCGATAACGAGAGCGAAAAGACGGCGCGTGGGTCGCTTAATCGTGATCCCGAAGCTGTACGTCTGTCTAGCGTCTTTCATCCATAAACCCCGTGGTCACTTACGATCCTTCCGTTATGCAGGTCAACGTATCTGACTAGACGACTCTATCCGCTGTTTAAAAGGTCACGGCCAAGTTTTCGTGCGGGAGAATAGCTTGGACAAATCAACCTCAACGTTATTCATGATGGTATACCCCCCTCAAGGCCGAGGAACCGCGCATTCGCTTGGATACCTTAGGCAATGGAAACGCATAAGGCTACCGCATAATCGTTCATAGACGCGTCTCGTCCCTCTACGCCCACGTTTGACATACACATACGCTGTATCCTTCATGAATAGACGTCTCGGCACACTAAAAGCGTAGCTGGCTTCGGTCGTGTGCATGCATGTCTGATCTCATTTCATGGTTTTTAGCAGACGCTTCATATAATGAATAATCCTTGACCCCATGAGCGTATGAAATTTCCTCGTTGGTCGGCATCCTCGCGAACACGGAACATGACATGAAGGTGTTGTGCGCACGGGGTGAGGCTGCGTTCACGGAGTTTCTATCTAGCGAGCCTAACCCGGATGGATTCCGCTCGATATGAAATGATTGTATTCTACGCCTTAGCGTATCATTGAACGACTCGAGTACTGCCAGTGGCGCAGTCGGCCGCGCCGCCCCAGCTAGCGCCGGGCGTGGAGAGCTTGTTTTCCGACTCCCACGAAGAACTACGAGATCACCTGCCTCCTTGAACGGCATGGCTGCGGTAGGTATGTGTCCGCCTGAAGTACGCCTTCCTGAGGAGATAACCCTCTCGCGACCCCCTCCTTGTCCATGACGCTCCACCAAAGACCTGGCGACGACGGAGCTGCTCCTGCTGGTCCCACTTCTTCAGCTGGGATCCAGAAAGACAACCAGCTCTGGCTTGAGGACGGCAGCATCATCCTAGTTGCTGGTCAGACTGGGTTTCGCGTCCACAAGAGCCAACTCTCGAGAAAATCTGCCATATTCAGAGAACTTTTTGCTGTGCCGCAACCAATTGTTTCGGTCGACTCTCTCGAGGGCTGCCCCGTCGTTCGAGTCCCCGACGCCGCACAAGAATTATCTCATTTGCTGCGTTATATATACGATGGACGCAGGTGAGTTATCTATACCTTGATCAGCTCCTTAGCAAGGACCAATCTCTGAGGCCCCATGCACCATTTCAGCTTCATCATATCGACCACCGGTAGACCAGACTTCGTGAAGCCCACATTCGCAACGCTTTCGGCGTTGATGCGCCTCGGCCACAAGTACGACATCCCTGAGGCAATCGAGGACGCATCCAGCTGCCTCCAGTCATACTACACTACCAACTTCGACGTCTACAAGAGGTTGCGCCAGCGCGACCTTGTCGACCTGCTATTCGAATTACGCGAAGAAGACCTCGATGCGGATGCGATCGAGACCGTCAATCTCGCAATGTTGACAGGAAAACACTCCCTGCTTCCCGCAGCGATGTACAGATGCTGCCAGATCGATTCCGACGAGCTCATCGATGGAGTCCAACGCCCTGTGCGTGACGCGCGCACCGTGCATCTCAACGCGGATTGTATTCGTCTCTGCCGTCGCGGGCGGGAACATCTCATCAAGGCCTGTGGACGAGTTCTCAAGGTCTTCGGTCTCCTGGAGTCTCCAGTCCGCTGTGGTCGCTGTGCACCCGTGGCGAAACAGGAAGGGGCAGGCAGCATTCATGACATTGAGCTGCAACTGACGACAGACCCGCTTGAGTTGATGTACGGCTCCGATGCTCTCAACGCACTTTGCTCAAGATGTCAAACTTCGATGGCGGACCATCTTGCCGCACAGCAGCGTCAAATATGGTGCAAACTACCGGTCTATCTCGGTATTGATGATTTGGAAGGAGTTGAGATGGTCGCGCCTAGTCCTTTGGAAGGTATGGACTGGGCCGCATGATTGCGTGAATGTTGTTCTTCACGTGCAAGAGGTGCGAGGCGATCCAGGTTTTCGCTCGCACGAATGCTAACCTCTTGCGGGATGCACGAAACATCATCAGACATAGAGTTTAAATCAGTCACATATGCGTTCGCTCATGCTCGTTTGCGAGGCAATGTAGAGTGAGCTGGATGATCTTCCGATCGTGTACTATCTCAACCGAACTGACGGTGACGGTTGTCTTGCACACGTAGTACGCCTGTTACCGCAGCACCATATCTCTAGATGACGTTGCGACTGCCCTCGAGACGATCACTTGCAATGCGATCAAGAGATTTGTCCTATCGGCGCATTTAAAGTCCCCAGTCATCTCTACGAATACAGATCCTAGATATTCTGAAGACCAATTGAGATTAAGTGATCAACCTAGCGACTCTCGGGAGGAGGACGCAAAGATGTCTCATTCTAGTCCTACAACGCCTAACCGCGTGGCGTACGCACGTGCGCCAAAGTTCGGAAGTGTGCGACAGAACGCAATCCGCAAGTATGCTCGGAAACTTACTTCGACGGCTCACTTCGACTCTCACGTTAGCTTCAGTCCTGATGTCTCTACCGCAGCACTACAGCCAGCCATCTACCATCATCTTCACAACGCCTCACTTGTCCTCTAGAGAAGCCATCCATGCCGCGATCAACAGACCAACCCGTCGCCGGCTCTGAGTTCCCTCCGCTTAGCCTTTGCGAGGACCTCGGGAGGGAAGCCGGAAAGGGGAACATCCAATTTCGGCTTTGGTTCGACGACCGCGGCGTCGTCCTTATTGCTGAGCATACTGCCTTCCGTGTGCACGCATCCTTCTTGTCTCGACACTCCCCAGTGTTCAAAGAGCTGTTCACTGTGCCGCCTGCCCCCAATGGCGAACGCATAGGAGGCTGTCGCGTCTTCCACACCTCCGATTCAGCTGAGGACCTGAACTACCTGTTGCAATTAACGTATGACGCACCTTGGTACGTATCAATATATTCCCAGACGATCTGTATCTTATGTCGTTTGTGATAGTCTCCTGAGACCCATCAACCCCAGTGGCGACACTGCGAAGCCCTCATTTGCTATGATATCCGCTCTGATGCGGCTCGGTCATAAATACGAATTCTTCACTCTAGTCGACGACGCTGCGAGATACCTCGAAACATACTACACCACGAACTCTGACGTTTGGGAGCAGCTCCGAGACGGGAAGCAAGACGCGCCCTTCACCTTCTCTGACAATCCTGCCGCTGACGCCATTGATGCAGTAGATATCGCACGCTTGACGGGAAGATACGCCATGCTCCCCGTCGCGTCGCTCTCTACCAATGCTGCCAGCTCGATCCCGTCGACCTCTTGGAAGGTGTGAAGCGCTCCGAGGCGGACACTCGAGTCTTCTCCCTCTCCAGTGCCAATATTGCACTCTGCCTTCGTGCGCAAAGACCGCTGCTCAAGGCATCCGCTAATGTCGCTGCTATCTCTCTCCTGCGGTATGAGTGTGGCGAGCCAGGATTTGTGGGTAGCTGCGCAGACCGGGTGTATGCTGTCTCGAGCTCTGGTCTCCTGAGGTTGGATGACGAGCTTACCTCAGACCCGTTGAGGCCCCTCCCCCTGGCGTCCTGCCAAGCAGCCTCCGTGCTGGAGATAGCAATTGGCAATAGGTCAGTGGAGCTCTGCGCTGCGTGTAAGCAGCGATTGTTGTCCACGGTTAGGAGGGCGAGACAGGATATTTGGAGTCGATTACCAACATTTTTCGACCTGTGGAAGCTTGAGCCTCAGATAAGGATGGTGATCAACGACCCGCTGGTCAGAGATCAGGACTATCAGAGTGACCTTTACGCCACAAAGAACCTACGATGCCATTGGACCGAAAGCATGACTGCTTGACTGCACCTCTTGGACTCTACAGTTTGTGACCTGTACTGATAGCTACCGCTATGTCATTGAAGATGGGCGTGGGTCCGATGCTCTATGGTAGAATATCACCGAGAGACGACACAGTCGCTCGCGCGCGCCGAGGTTACTTCGCACCCAGCAGCGATCCGACGATTGGGAGATGGCCTCTATTGCCAGGTTCTATGCCGACTGGTGGACAGTAGACAACTCGTGATACCTCTCCCAAGTATCTTGATATGGAACTGCCATCCTGGTATCGGCTGGTCGGCCGAAATCTCAAGGCGCTCGCACACGGAGGGGGCCATGTCATCTTGGATCAGAGTTGTAGGTTCCTCTCGCTATAGAGTTTGTAGCTTCTTGTTCAGGTGACGACGCGGTAGCGGGCCCGGGGGTGAGTCCAAAGTTGCCTTACGGTTGTTGCATCCATTGGATCCTATACTTGAATGCCACCGTCATTAGCACAGATCGCCGAGGACTCAGGCTCGCTGCCTGAGGCTCGCTGCTGAGCGTGAATACCATAGTCGGCTCAGCGAGGACCACGCAAAGATGATTCCATGCGGCATGTCAAGCTACGTGGAAGCATCTTATCGAACCGTTGCCGCTGTGACTACATAGCCAGGTATTTGGCCTGGGTAAGTGCTCAACTTCCCCATTCGAGTGTTCACCTTGTCAGATTGACGGCATGTCCTCTAAGCGACGGCGAAGTGCGGCGGAAGATGGGAAATAAACGTGAACCCTGGATGGTCGTGGGGCGGTGACACCTTGGGCGAGGCGCGAGGAGCTACACGACTTATGGAAATCTGCATACGAGCGCACTTCGAACCCGATTGAAGCGCCTGCATCCTCAACCAATCAGGCGACGCTCGAGCGTAAGGACTTCGTGAGCGAGACGAGAGGGAAAGAAGCGCGTTAATACACTAACTAATACATGGGGATCATCCGAATAGTCATTATCAATCGTGGGTAATGCACCTGATATTCGTAGACAAGCCTCCAACGGTTAAGGCCAGGAGTTAACGTACACAGGGGACATGAGTGAAACAACAAGCAGTGAAGGGACGAAACGAGGAGGGGGCGCTTATGCCGACTGCTTTTCGTCGCGGCTCTCGACTTGGTGGACCTCGTGCTAAAGAGATGATAGATCAGTATCTGCGCGAGTAGTGAAGAGAGAATCTGAGAGCGCACCTTGACGTCCTCGAGGGTCCTCTTGCCAACGTCGCGCTTGACCTTCCAGGCCGTGAAGACGTGGCCTTGCGCGAAGACGTCCTCGATCTCCTCGAGCGTGCGGCCGGCAGTCTCGGGGAACATGAAGAAGATGTGGATGAACGCCGCGAAGTTGAAGGTTCCGAAGATGAAGTACGTCTTCCACGCGATGTTCGACAGACCAGGAGGCACGGCCCACGCGAGCGCGAAGTTGAACAGCCAGTTCGCCGCGGTCGAGACGGAGACGGCCTTGGCACGGACGCGCATGGGGAAAATCTCGGCGGGGTACGTCCAGGAGACGGGACCCATGGTGATGGCGAAGGAACAGACGAAAAAGTAAGAGAAGACGATGATCGCCTTTGTGATGCCGTCATGTCCAGTGATGACCCAGACGCGGTCACCGTCCACCTGTCCCCAGGCTCCATAGCCGCCTTGGAGACCACCGACGAGGAAGAGCCAGAAGCCCATAAGAAGAGTACCGGCGAGAAGCATGGGACGGCGGCCCCACTTGTCGATATAGATGATAGCGGGGATGGTGAACGCGACGTTGAGTACGTACTGAACGGAGTCAGCGATGAGGTTACCGCGGCGACCCGTGAGACCGGCACCCTGGAAGACGTAGATGATGTAGTACATCATGATGTTCATACCGGAGAGCTGAGACCACATCTGGAGCGATGCACCGAGCGTGACGCGGCGGAAGATGCCAGGCTTGATCAAGTCAAGGTAGGACTTGGCACCCTCGGTGCGCTCGAAACGGACCTGCTCCTTGATTTCGGCGATCTCCAACTGGACGAGTTCGTTGTTAGGATCGCCCTTGCCGTGAAGGTCGGCGAGGATCTCGAGAGCCTCGTCCTCACGGTCGTGGTCCACGAGCCAACGCGGCGATTCGGGGAAGAGGAGCATACCGAGGGACAAGATGATAGCAGGAATCATCTGGAGACCCCAGGGAATACGGAAGGAGGCGACGCCATTGATGTAGGAGCAACCGAATTCGACGAAGTACTGGAGGAGGATACCCCAAGTGATGGACCATTGCTGCATCGACACGAGACGACCACGGATGCGGGGATCGGTTATCTCAGACTGGTAGAGAGGGACGATTGCCGAGGCGATACCGACGGCGATCCCAGAAATGATACGCCCGACGACAAGCATGCCACGGTCCTGTCGAATGATGTCACGTCAGCGTCCGTGCTCAGGAAAAGCGTGCTTTGCCGTCACTGAGGTTAGTGCACTTGGGCACGAGACGGGTCGCACGGGTGTGGAGCCGAGAATGCGGATGAGATGGCGCCTTATCTCGCCCTATCGCGTCTTACTCTGGGATCCCACGACGAGGCATGGAAAGCTTTGTCCGGACCCGGTGCGCACACAACTCGGTGGGACACAAGGGTCCGAAAAGAGTAAAGTGAGACTCACGACAGCAGCGCACTGGAGGATGGAGCCAACAACCCAGATCCAGCCAGAGATAATGACTGTCCATTTGCGGCCCAGGAGATCGGCGAGCTTGGAGACAGCCAGTGCACCGACGAAGGAGCCGGCAGGCATGGCGGCGACGATGGCACCCTGGGCGTTGGAGTCGGGGTTGCCAAACTGCCTCTTGTAGGCATCATTGGAGAGGACGCCGGACATGGACGAGATGTCCAGACCGAAGAGACCACCGCCAATACATGCGAATGAACCGACGATGTACTAAGTGACATGCGAGGTATAGTCAGTCACGAAGTCGACGAAGGAAAGGCTTGAGGCACGGGAATGATAACGATATGACAGAGACTAACCGGATTAGCTGCAATGGCGGGTGAGTACTATGGTTGAGGTGCGAGACGGATATGAGTATGAATTCTCGGACGAAGAAGCAAAGGACTTACGGCTTTGACCATTTTTGCTGGCTAGTCCCGTAGGCAATGGCAGGGCTGTCAGAGCTGGACCGCTGGTGGAGGGGAAGCACAAAGCTTGGACCGCAACCGGGGAATTGTCAAAGATTGGAGGGATGTTTTATAGCAAGTGGAACATGCGGTCTGTGGTTGCGGACCGGCTCGCGTCGCAGCGTGCGGGGTCGTCTGACCCAGGCACGGGCGCGGGGACCCCACAAGTCTGGGGGACGTTAGCCGAAGCGATTGATGAACGTTGATGGAACTGGAGAATGCATCATCTCAACGCCGTCACGCGTCTTGGGACTCACACGGGGCTCCAATCAACCAGCAGCGACCGCATGAATTTGTCAAACGGTCGGGGCGGGGCTCGCCTCCTCGATGGCCGTTGAGGGGCTTCGCTCTGCGAGCGGATGCAGTAAATTACGAGGCTGTTACCTCATGCCGTGAGAGCTGGGATGCACTGAGGGGATGATCGTTGGAAGAGGCAAAACTAGAGAGGCAGGAGAAGGTTGTGGCCAAGTCTGAGTCAGGCGCTGGGGCGAGGAGGTCGCATGACCGCTCCGACTCGGCCATCCCAATACGGCATCAGATGTCCTGCACATGCAATCCCAATCCCAGGTACGCGGCGGCGGTCTGCTCAGTTTTCACCGCGAATCTGCTCAAACGGAAATGGCTTCGCTTGCTGGAACGCTGCGCCATCGATGGCCATCCCAACACACTCGTCTTACTTACTTAGCCCCACTCCCAGCTCGCGGTCCCGGGGTTCTCCCGACCCATCCAGTGGCCATCCAAACTCACGCTATATTCTACTCTTCTATCGTCGGTCGGCCCGAATCTCCGTAGTACAAGTACTATCTGGGAGACTGAAACATGCGCGGATCCTGTTTGCCTAACTATCGTCCGTCTCACGCTTTCGGTCCCATGTTATGACGCAATAAGGGCAGTAAGGGTCCGCCAACCACGCTGCATGTCGTCCCATGTTTCTCTAGTGATGCTCTCGTTTCAAATTACAAGCCCATGATGCACGATCAAGTCCGTCATAGAGCACTCGGTGACAAGCTGACCCCGAGCAATCATGTGCTGAAGCTGCGGTTGTAGCTGCCAACAAGAAACGTCGGACACTGTGACTCTGCTACGTGGTTTTGGGATCTTCAATAGGTCTGAGTCGATCGCGGTAGCATCTATGTAAGCTCAACGGACGGACACTTCTCGCTATGATGCGTCAGATACGCTTGGCTTCAGATTCGCATTATGCTATGTTCATAGAACGATCACTTGCCCGTCTTGCACATCCACGCCTCAAGCGGAAACGTAGAAAATATGGCTGGACCTGTCTACCAGTGAAGACCCTCCGATGGCCCGTGTGGTTCATGATCGTGAGAGAGATGGCAGAATTACATATCGAGAGCGTCATACGACTAAATCGAAAACCGGTAATATATGTATCCTATCCTATCACTATACCCATACAACGGAAGACCGTGGGGCAGGAACGCGTTCGCACGAGGGATAATCCACAAAGCCGTCCGCACACTGGCACAATCACTCAAGCCAGCTCCTCGATCTTAACGAGCCTTCGCTTCCTCGGTGGTGTGCCCGCCTCCGCGTCCTCGACTTTGCGCTTCCCTGCGCTCAGAGCCTCATCGCCGCTGAAATTCTCCTTGCCGGACTCCTCTGCATCACCATCCTGGTCCCGGGACGGCGTCGCCTTGCGCTTGCTGCGCCCAGACTTGCTCTTGGACTGGGCTGCGCGGCGGCGTTTCTTGGGGGAAGGGTTGAACGGGCGGTTGTTCTTGACTGCCCACTCGATCTCGATAATTCTACTCGGCAGGCAAGGGTCAGGGCCAGAATCGAAGGGACCTAGAAGAGTACTGACCTCTCCCGGAGCTTGACGTTGTCCGGGACGTACGTCTCGGCTTTGCGATACAGTTCCAGGGCCACTTCGAGGTTATTCCTGCGACGAGGATCAGACCAACGTAAGCACGACGCCCGCTACAACATAGAATCTCAAACTAAGCGGCGGCTACGATGCGTGATAAAAAGATGTAAGGATGAAGGAACGGGAAGAGACGCACTTCTGCGACTGCGACCGCGCGAGGGCGACATACGCCCGCCCAGTCTTCTTCTTCGAGATCGGTGAAAGCACGTCGGCAAGATGCAGCGCCGTGCTAGCCGCTTTGTTAGCGCGCTCGCTGAGATTCGTTCATGGCGGTTGAAGTCATGTCAGCGCGCGAGGTAGCGGTTTGCGAGAGCGATAGAGAGGGCGCACAATCTGGCCTCGAGCTCATCGAGGCGGCGCTTGAGCTCGTCCTCGGACGCGCCGGCCTTGGACTTTAGCAGCGGCGTGAGCATACCCGAGGGGAGAGACTCGAGTGCCGATGATGAAGATGACGTCGAGTTGTCTTCCTGGGTGGTGTTGATGCTGATGTTGGTGCTGCCGTCGGTGATTACATGGTGGTTGCGGGAGGCGGAGGCGGAGGAACCTGCTGAGAGGTTGGCAGCCCTCTCCTCCTCCTCACGCCGGAGACGCTCACGCTCTTCTTCAAGGCGACGGGCTACCTCGCGCTCCACGGCTTTCGCGATCTGGGTCCATGCGAAGTGGGTCAGCGCGATGGATATGGGTTCAGAGGATAGCCAAGACCTACGCGGGCATTAATCTCCTCTTCCGTGAGGTGTGCAGGGACGACAGGTGGTTTCTCCTCAATCTTAATGGCTTCAGCAACAAGGGGGAGAGGGAGTGAGCTGCGCCCGCCTACATGGTCCAAGCCGAAGCCGGACGGTCTGGGGACACGTGAGGGTCGGGGACCAGGAAGGCGGGAAGGTCCAGCTGTGGCCGCCGACGAAGGCTGGTTGAACGAAGTCAAGGTGAATGAGGTGGAGAGCTGGATGGGCTTTGGTAGTGCTGCGACTGTTGTGGCTTGTTGATTGACCACGGGTTTGTTCTGGATGTTCTTTGTCCGGACGGCGAAGCTGGCACGGGAGGAGACGCACGCAGGATGTCAGCGTCTGGAGAGGGGTATATAGAACTGCTTACTTGAGGGTATTGAGGGTATCTTGTCGGAACTTCGTGCCTGGCGCGAGGTTGCATATCAGGAGACCAATGGAGCTTCCGCCCAGCGCGTCTTGCAATATCCGCGTGAGCTTGGAGTTGCGGTACGGAATGCGGCTCTGGGTGCGCAGGCGGGTTGAGAGAGGGAAACCAAGAGATGATACCAGAAGAGCACTCACTGCGCCTTGGTTGAGCGCATGCACGACCTGGCCGAGGACGCTGAGCGACTTGTTGATCGCCGCTGACTCAGCCATGCGGGTCGCGTCGTTGCCGGTGAGCTGCGGTGAGTGAGCAGGGATCGAGCAGTGTTCAAACGAAACCGAGCAGACCTTGTTGTTCTCTGAGCCTGCAAGATCGACGAGGTTCAGTTTACCAGCTAAGGCTGCATACGGTTAGTCGAAGGAGGCTGCGCGTGGCGAGATGAGGCATGCATACTCATGTTGGCCACAGGATCGATGACGTTGACGTGAATTGTGAGAATAGCATGGGAACGGGACGAAACCGAGTTGAGGTTGGTGGAGCTGACAGAACGTTGCTTGTTGGCGCGTCTGAAAGTGGTAGGTCAGCGAAGGATGAAGCAAAGTCAGTGAGAATACGGACAAAAAGATCGTGTGAAAGTCTTGAAGGGAGTCGAGGGGAAGCATGGAGAGGTTCGCAACGAAGACCTGGCCAACTTCGTTCTCGCGCACGGGGAGTTTGGCAGCCTTTGAGCAGGGTTAGAAGTGAGATGTTCCTCGGAGTCGAGAGACGCACTGTTTCCCTGTCGACGAGAAGGTCATACACTTCATCTTTGTATATCTCCATGTAGGAAGCCGCAATTGATGCGTGAAGGCCAGTGGAGGCAGCTCTCCGGAATATTTCCTGAAGGGAGTTGAACGTCAAATTTACTTATGGGCAGTGGTAAATGCTGACCTCAACGGCACGAGGGATGATGCCTGGATGTTGGGTGTTGCCTTGCATGGTGTGGGTCTTGCCGGATGAAGTGACACCATATGCAAAGACAGTGGCGGTCTAACGAGAGGTTAGGTAGGTAGGAGGCGGGATGGACGAGGGATGAGACGCACGACGCCGGAGAAGACGACCTCTATGAGGGGCTTAACATCGCGGTCAAAGATCTGGTCTTGACTGGACGATTGGTCATAGCAAGACGAGAAGCTGCGAGGGTTGAGAAGGTGAGGAGGGTAACGGAAAGATATGCGTACGGGTATTTGAACGTCTGAGATGGGTCTCTAGGATTGTCAACGGAGATATATGGGCCTGCGTCGGAGTTAAGGACACGGATAGCATTGTCATGGATCTCGCCTGGGATGGCTGGTCGGAGACGGGCGGCAATCTTGACCCTGGAATAAGACATCACGGGGAAGGGATAAAGAACGAGAGTTGAAAGAGCGTGTCCGGGTACCTCTGAGGAGAAGGTCCAGGGAGAGAGGGCGAGGGGAATGTTGAGGAGGGCGAGGGGAATGTTGAGGAGGGCGAGGGGAATGTTGAGGAGGGCGAGGGGAATGTTGAGGAGGACGAAGAGGACGTTGAAGGGGGACGAGGAGGATGACAGAAGGAGTCAAAGAGACGCCCGGACAGCGTCGCGACGACTCGAACCGTGTCTATCTATCACGTGGCCGCGCTATAGCACAGACCGCCAGCAATCGATCTTGTTCGTGCAGTCTTCAGCCTCCGAGTCTCAGGAATATGCGGCGATATAAGGGCATTCTTCAACGGCGATAGACCAGTCGCCATGCACGTCAAGTACGTTACGCGCCGCAAACCAGTACGGGCTGGAATATGCGACTGAGAGGTTTGGCGGAATTGGGATTGGAACTTGAAGAAAGCTTCCCAGACTTGGCGGTTGTCGATGGGCCCAGGATGCTATACGCGCCGCGTGTGTACACAATCGCCTGTTACTATTCTTTGTAAGAACATGTCAGGAATAACGCCATGCTACATCGGTACATAGCGAGCATAGGGCTCGTGCAATCTAGGGGAATTGTCGATGCCGGATGCTGAGCGGAGCGAGAGGTGAGACCGTTGTGAGTGCAACTTGTGAAACGTCAGCCGACCGTTGTGGAGAGACATTTCTGACTTTGACCAGCCTTTGAGGGCAGGGCGAAGGAGACGGTGACAGCGTTACGATAATCCGTGCGATAGAATCCCTACATGCAAGGACTGCCACGGATTCGCTCATCAACCTACCCGGATAGAGACAGGCACAGTGGTAGGATTGACCGTTGAGGCGTTCGCAAAGGCCTCCTTCATAAGGCGCATCTGCATTTAGAGTCAGCGTATCTGATGATGCGTTGCACTATTTCGTTCCTTGCTTGGGCAGAGTAGATGATCGACGAGCAACGAAACTCGCAAAGGACACGAGGGATGCAGGGGTCACAGATATCAGCGAGGGCAGACAGTACTTGGTGAATCTGTTGCCACATACCTCTCAAATGTGACAGCGAGCCAAACATGTTCCTAGACAGTTTACGTGGAATACTTGGGATGGTGGGGGAAGAGAAGGACGAAGCGAGACTCACCGCATGGGCGCAGCTGCCGTTAATGGCGGTGGCAGCCACGAAGACAAATAAAGGTAAATAAAGGATCAGTCAGATCACTTGTTGCCCGGGCTCTGGTCGTCTGCTCCAACACCGACCACATTCGATTCCGTCTCACACGACGACCACGACCTTATTCACAGCCATACATCTCATTTCTCTCTAGTCTACTGTCGACCCACTTAGAGCGCAGTCTACGCCCCCGCCCGTCACCCATCATGCGTGAATCCAACTTTGCGTTTCCAGCGCAGAACAGAGCTTGTGTCTGTATTTCCTCCCAGCTGTATGACAGACGAGGTGCGTGAATCGCTACAGATCGGTCGGAGAACGCGAGAGACCAAGTGAACCAACGCAGCGCTCGACACAAACTCCTCGCTACCACTGTTCAACTCGCTTACCCATCTTGTCTATCTCACCTCAACATCTCCCCGTATCCGCGAGATCATGACCATGGACGGCGGCCTTGAGCGTCTCGTTCGCATCCTTCACGACTTCTGTATCTCCCCGCCACCTCCAGAAAACCCCGCTATCTTCTACGGACTTGCATCCCCCGGTTCCCACCCATCTAAACCAGCCCCGACTCTCCTTCCTAAAACCTACGACAAGCACGCCGCCTACCGGTTTTCATTGGCTTTTCAGTGTATTGTGAACATCGGCGTCCGTGGCAGCGAGCCCATCCGCAGTCGCGTGGTCCAGGCCGGGACGCTTGAAGTTGTCGGATGCATCTTGGAAGCGTGGCTGGCGAGCAAGGGTTTTCCGGTTGGGCCGTCTGTCGCAGCAAATGGAATGCCTCGAGAGACGCGCGAGCAGCGAATGGCGCGACGGCAGGCGCAGATGGAGTTGCGGCAGCGGGAGCAAGCGGCGGCGTTAGCTCGGGCTTTGGAACGCCAGATCGCAGCCGACCAGCCAACGATCACACCGGCGGACATCTCTATCCTCAGCAGCGCTGATACGTCAAGAGAGGTACGCTTCTTCTTGTTCGTCTTGCCTTGTTCTGTATGGCATCCCTGCTGTTTCTCCCATGCGCAAACCCTCTATCCGGTAGGATATTGTGGCACGTAGTGGCTCAATGGGATGTCACGTCCTCGGACCTTTGCGTCTCTGGGCGTGCGCTCAAGCTTGGAGAACATATGCTTGAAGTGTTGGTTGGATTCCGGGTGTGGATTACTAAAGTAGTATCCTTCAGGAACCCATGCAGACGGATCAGGCAACCCCCAGCGCTTCGCGTGCACAGGACACAGATACATCCGCAGAAACATCGACTAACGCGACGCCCAATGGCTCGAATACGCCCACGGGTTCGGTTGTAGTACCCGGCCGAGATCGTAGCGGAACCATCATCGCGCGACCGGTATGGGATCAACCAACCAATACTATACGACGAGCACATCGATCGCGACTGAATGTGCCTGCTGCTTCAGCCGGTCCGTCGACATCGACATCAGCCGCTAACTCGAGACCTGAGACGGAGACGGAAGACGACGGAGATGTAGACATGGACGCGAGTCGGGATGGCGATGCGCCCTCGCCCTCTCCAGAGCGACAGCACACCGAAACAGGTACCATCCGCGCAACTCACTCGCGTCGTGCTGTTGGTATTGTATCTGACGCTGGCGCACCTACTGGGCCTGGAACCACTGGAATTGACTTACCATCAGACGCACACATCATCATCAACGACGAGGGGGTGGTACCTGGTGTAGGGGTCGAAGATGGGATCGTATCGCTCGAGACCAACGACGACTTCGCCATGGGTGCTCCCCCTGGAGCTCCTGGTGCGCTGGACGGACCTCCTGCTCGCAACGTCGCTGACGGACACACAGGCGCAGGCGAGCGGACACCTCGGGCAGGCCCCACCAATCTTCCCATGACAACTGCGCGGCAGGTCACTGGAGGGTTTCTCACCCCCGCCGCTGCTGAGGACGGGCGCGGGCGGGCGACGGATACGCCTGTTAGGCAGAATACCATCCGGCCGACAAACGCGCCCAATAATGCCAATGGCGGGAATGGCCACCACCACCATCATCACCATCGCGAAGTCGAGTCGGGGCCCTACCGCGATGAAGACGTGCTGCTTAGCCTGCAGCTCCTTGCCTACCTCAGCAAGTATCCCCACTGTCGTCAGGCGTTCTACAAGCCGCGCGCTAGCTTTCACCCTGCAACTGCAAACTTATCCAACGATGGCCGCTTTGGATCGGCTTCCGGCCCAAGCGGCCCGTCAGCCTCGTCGAGCCGAGCCGCAGCTACGACCTCTTCCTCAACTGCGACTCCTTCGAAGGACATCAATCCTTTTATCAAGGCGTTCAATTCAGCGACAGGGAGAGGGAAGGAGAAAGAGCGAGCGCAGGCTGCCGCGACTTCTTCTGGGGGTTCTGGGAGTGGCTCGACCGCGGCGGCGGGTCCGTCAGGGTCGGGATCAAGTTCGGCGGCGGGTACTTCCAGTAACAACGCCCCGGCACAACGTATGACGAACGTATTCGCACTTGTCGAGCGATTCACCTACCGACACAGCTCGTCTGAGCTAGAGTCCTCGAACCCTCCGCCGAGTCTGCCACCAGAGATCCAGTACTGGGCCGGAGTCATCATGCGGAACGCGTGTAGGAAGGATGATAGTCGTGGTGGTATCCGGCAGTGCGCGAACAGTAAGTGTTGCTATCTTGTTCTTGTGCAAGGGCCCGTAAGCGGGTGTGCTGACGACGTGATTGCGCAGTGCTCTGCGGACGATGGGAGCGCTTCCCGCGTGAGTTCGCCAAGTGTCGGCGGTGTCGGAAGGCGAAATATTGCGGGAAAGAGTGTCAGAGTACGGCATGGAGTGAGGGCCATCGCTTTTGGTGTAGCGCGAAGGACCCGGAGGAGGATGGCGACCATCATCATCACGGGCACGGTCATGGTCACGGTGGAGAGCATTCACGGGCTGGGGCGGGTGGCGGTACAGGGGCTGGAGGCACAGGGAATGGGTCTGGATCCACGGCGACAGTTGCTGCTGGGGCACCAGCGACTACGGCCCAGGGCCGAGTTGAAAGGAGAGAGGCCAGGGAGAGGGAAAGGCAGGCGCGTGCGATGGCAGCCGAACTGCGGTTGGCGCAAGAGCAGCGAGGGCAGACCGCGCAAATGGTTCGCGTCGCCGCGAATCTTATCCCTACGACTATCGCAGCGACACAGACGGAGACTCCGATACAGATAGCCGACCCTGGACCCTCAACAAACGTGACCGCGGGGGCCGGTGTAGGTCGATCTCCAATACCGGCTCTCGCTGCTGCCCTAGTCGACGGATCATGGACTTACCGACCAGGTAATTCTCAGCCTTCCCAGTGGCTGAACGATGGCGTTGGCCAAGGTGCAGATCGAACTCAGACGGTGGCGAGCCTCCTCCGCCAAGAGCCTGACGTAACACGTCGACAGCTCGCGCGCGAATTGATGAACTCTCGAGCGGTGGACGCGACGCTTCGAGGACATCCTTCAGACACTCACGCCGAAATGCCCGACGCCTCGGTGACGGCTGCAGGAGAGACATTGAGGGAGGCAAGCGAAGATGTGGACATGTTGATTGACTGAGGATAGTTCGTGTGCGTGCTTCTGTCCTCGTTGTGGAATCATCATACCCTTCAACTACACCATTGTCTTTTGTGCCTGGGAGAGGGGTTTCCCCGGAGGCGTCTCATGCTTTGGCTAACTACCGTCTCGGACGGACTACGTCCGTGTCGTCCCTCGATGCGGTTCTGCGTGTGACGCTTGATAGTCTATCCCACCCCAAACCATTCGTGTCCACAGTTCTCGCAATCCTCGTTCATCGTCGCTGATCGATATATTGTACATCCACACAATACCCGAACACACCCTCCTTGCGTTCTTCGTGTCCCCGTAATTGCGCACATACTCTGGTCTCGGACTGCATGTCTCTCGTTCCTCGCCAGCATTCGTCGCTATCCGTGCTCATCAATGTAGTATACGCTAGCACACACAACCTATACCACTTCTTCAGTGATCACGGCCACCCAAACATGAGTTTAGTGCCGACAGCGCTGAGAGCAAGCTTAAGCGGAGTTCTGGAGGATTCTCGGGCGTTGTTTGGCGGGCGCCTGTGTAAACAGGCGGGTACAAAATTGGGAAGCCAGCAGTGGCCCTCGGGCGCTTCAGGCACTTGACACGCTCTCCCTCCCTGCTCACCACACTCGCATCGACTTCCCGTTCGTACCGTACACACACATGGTCTGTTCTCTTGTCTGTCTACCACTCTATGCTCGTGCTCATCTTGCGCATACAGGCTGCCCAGGCAACGTTCAAGTCTATTAAGTCTGTTATCCCTCTTTTCGACCGTGTCCTCGTCCAGCGGTTCAAGCCCGAGACCGTATGTCGTTCTTTCCATGTCTCCAGCCAGCTATTGACATCTGTCGACTCTAGAAAACCGCGAGCGGCATCTTCCTCCCCTCGTCCTCCACCAGCAACCCACTCCCCGAGGCGACCGTCATCGCCGTAGGCCCAGGTGCACCCAACAAGGATGGTAACGTCCAGCCTGTGAGCGTCAAGGCTGGTGATCGTGTGCTTCTTCCGGGCTGGGGCGGTAGCCCTATCAAGGTCGGCGAGGAGGTAAGTTTTGCTCTTCTCTTGTTGTGTCGCACTGTGTGTTCATTGCTGGCGTGCTGCACGCGCGTGCAGGAGTACTACCTTTTCCGTGACTCGGAAATCCTCGCCAAGATTCAGGAGTAAGCGTACTTTGAAACGCGTCCTTGGCTTTACCCTTGGGAGGAATGGACGTGTAAGATCTGGCCAGTACGGGATGCGAGAATGAAGACGAAGCAGGTGCGGGGAGGGATTCGGATGGCAACACGGTTGCGCGTCCCGCGGCACCACCACAATATAAAAGTTCGCTATCATCTACGTCATATTGTCGAGCTAATCGTCGTGTTATACCGTATATGTGCTTTACTGTCCACTACAGTTCGTAATCGTTCCTCCCTGCTCAATCTTGGCTAGCTTGCGCGCTTCCTTCCTGTAGGAAATAGGCGGTGTAATGGCGGTTTTCAGTACGTGTGTCCTTATGCTTCACTTGTCCTGTTCGGGCAGGTCTTGATCATAATGGCATCCAAGTCTCGGCTTGACTCCTTGAGGCCTTCGTCAGCTAGTGTGGCATCGAGTCCAGTGACGACTTGAGCTTGGTCTTGGCCTCGACTCGGTTCAGGGTACGAGTTTGCCAAATGGTGTATGCGAAGCAAGACGAGAGAGCAGGAAGTTGGAACGCAGCAGATAGACTCATCAGCATTAGGCTCGGACGCAGAAGTGATCTCGTAAGCGAGACCCATGTAGATCTTGTCACTGCGGCGGTACTCTATCAAACGTCTGGCGGCTAGGCGAGCTATAGCGAACGCACACAACGCCATTGCGGAGGTAACTAGGCATTGTGGAGGCCATCGATCTCGACCTCGTTCTTGACCCCGTCATCTCCTCGACACAGGATGGCGGGACCGTGTACCAAAAGCTGGCCAGATGAGGCAGATCGCGTAAGATATCTGAGGGATGATGACTTGCGAGGCGATGAGATAGTGACATACGCATACAGGATTTGAAGGTGGAGTGCTAGCTGACTTACTTTGGCTTCGCCCCATCCTTGCGATGCAAGAGCGTTCAGAGATCGTTGCAATCACCCTGCATGACATACTGATGGAGGTAAGGTGGCTCTTGAGTTTCTCGGTAAGCTTTGTCTCTTCGACGCAGAAGGCAGCGCTCTCCAGGTCGACAAAGAGACACGAGTGGAAGACCGGGTCGAACGGGATAACCGTCACTGCGCAAGTTTAGCAGCCAAGCTACGGCCAAAAGATCTTGTGGGCACGTGCCAATGGACGAGACGTTCGCGATCAACGTTGCAGCCTGCATGTGTGACAGCTTGGGCTCCGACTTGGAGTAGGATGGCGTCGCTCGCCGCCCGAGGCTGCCGGATCCACCTTGTCAATCGCGCGAGCTTCTCACCCGCGCTCATGCCTGTAAACTCCTTCGGCTGGAAATAGATCTGCCCCCTGAAAGGCGGGGGTGTCTCACGCCAGACAAGAGTTCCTGGGTTTGAGCGCGTTGTCGAGCGCGGTCGCCATCTCGTACGAATCGAGGCGCGCTTCGATGCCGATCTTGGAGTCGTTGGCACAATTGATGACCCATTGAATCTACTCCTGGATAATCGTGGCAGGCTCGCCGGGCTCGATGAGCAACCAATCGTGGTCAAGTTGCTCGCGCTTGGAGCTAGTAACAGGAGTCGGTGATGAGTTCAGAGACGATGGCGTGCCGGCAGATCGGTGAACTTGGACGTGCGCAGGCGACGGACAACGGAGAAGTTGGTTTGGACCTAGCGGACGTGCATAGAGATCCACCCCCGCTATTGTCATGGGGAGCGATATTCTGAAGCATGCCATCTTCGCTGGGACTGACATTGGAATGAGAACATTTCAGCAACGATGGAGAAGGGGGGCCCGGATCGTGCGAGCGACGCACCAATAGTCAAGGCCGTGAATGCGCATTGAAGACCGTAGGCCGCCGGAACCTCGAGTCGAGGCATTGAGAACAGCGACGGACAAACCGTTTGTCCTTGTCACGCACGAATCCGGGCCGACGAGATTACATAATAGACTGAGAGGTCAGTGAGGGTCAACGTGCGCACAGATATCTCCAATTGCCCGCGACCATGATCCTTCGGGAGCATCTGGCAATTCCCTCCCCACAGCAAGTCCGCTTGCACTCTCTTACAGTTGACATCGTCCACCCAGACTGCAAACGTCCGCTATTCTCTCTCCCGGCCTTTTCTGCCGGACTGACACCTTCTGGCGACACCCAGTATGGTGTAGACCATCGCCTCGTCCTGGATGCTTGCCGTGTCCTCACCAACCGCGCTGCCAAGGATCTGGATGGTTACATAGCGCATGACTGCGCTGGACATCAGCGACTCTCTCTGGACACCGTGCTCCTACGCCCAGGCCGTTACTTTTATCTCCTCGCATCACCTCAGGGCACGGGCACGAGCACGAGCAAATACCCCATCGTCGGTGATATGGCCGCGTGGCGGTTTCCAGAATCTATTCCCTCTCATTGGATCCGAAACAGGAGTGCCGAAGAGCAGTCAGAGCTTTACGATAATGAATTCAATTCGTCATCGAGCATGTCCACCACTGTGCTGGAAGAGGACAAGCGTTGCATAATCACTCGGTACCGGCAGTGTGCGTACCTCCGTCTTGCTTTCGTGTGGATTACTAAGTCCGTCCACTGGCTGTAGCATGTGAGAATGCTCGCCTCGTGCCCCAGGATCAAGGGGACTGGTTCTACGCGAACGACATGTCCGACTACAATCTCGCTGGTCATCGAACGGGTGTCAACGACGTCGCGAACGGCGTAACTTTGCGCAGCGACGTGCATCGGTGCCTCAATCGTCACAGCTTCGTATTCTATCCGGTAGACGGCGGCCGATTTGCGGCATACTTCGTGCGGCGAGGAGATGCTGAATATGCGGAGCTATTCCACCGGAGACCTGTGGACATGCCTATTCGCGTGTCTGACCAGTTTCTCTATGCTCGGTTCGCTTACACGGTTATCAATCTTCTGCACTCCACGTGTGGGTTCGACCTTGCCCCCACGAATGAGGAAGTCGAGCGCCTAAGGGCGGATCGACTGTCCACGAAGAAAGCGCTCAAGGTAACGGGCAAGCAAGCGCAGTCGAAACTCGAGGTGGTCCATGAGGGTGTGGATATAAGTACGTATCATCGTTTGTAGTATATGCTGCGACTGACGCATGGTTTTCCTTCTACAGCAATGTCTGAGACATCCGCAGGGAACCAAGACGCAGAGGGCGCAAATGGGACCGACACTGGTGTGTGAGCTTCACCTTGGTATTGTGTATTCGCGTGTTGATATCCGCCCGATGGGTAACATTCGCAGAGGCGGTTGATTCAGAAAGCTCTGTGGCACAGCCTATGACAGAAGATCTCTATACGACCGCCGACAAGAGATACAGGGACCGGTTTCTTCGACGGTTTCCGGACCAGGGTAAGATGACTCCATACGCCCACTCGGTCATCGTTGAGCTCACTATTTCATTCAGCCGTCGAAGAAGTGGACAATCCACCTGAATCTCTCGCTACCTCTTGTCATACCGATACTCCTCGCATGCTCAGACTCATGTCTGAATATATCAAGAACAACCCGCAAGTCTGGAAGGCATCTTGGCTACCGGCAGACGCTACTAGACCGGATGTAGAGGGCTATTGTGCGGGGAGGATCACTCGCAGTGACTGATTTGTGATGGGTTTCCCCACGGCTCAAGTAGGTTAACACAACTGTCGCGTGGATCAGGGTAGCTTCTGCAACCAGCCAGCTCTTCCGTATCTATCGGAGAACATCAAGACGCTGCGATAGTGTCAGAGCGGGGCTCAACTCCGATGGCGACAGCATAAGAATTGGACAGCAAGCGCTTCCCCACTTTGGGAACTACTGCGGTCGTACTCGAAGCTCCCCCCACTCCAGGGATTTACGGTGGGCGAGCTACTTGAACCTAGTCATCGAGTCGTTGGGTATCTCGTGCCACCTTGCCTTATTCCTCGTCTAGCTAAATACGCAACATCGCATCCAGCTCCGCCTCTCCATCGCACCTTCAACAGCAAGCTCTTCCCCCGCCCCCAATATCTTGGTCTACACACCGCTACGCGCCTATCAGACGCATAATGGCCGACGCTAAGGCAGAGAAGAGGCAGAATTTGGAGAGTGTCTTCCCTATCCTCTGCGACGAGCTCCTCGGCTATCTCAAGCAGGAGGGCATGTCAGAGCACGCAATCACTTGGTTCCAGCGCGTGCGTTCTCATCCGTGTTTCCTCTTCGGCGCCCGTACTGATTACGAATTGGCGTGTCCGCCGGATGCTACACCTAGAACCTCGACTACAACATTACAGGCGGGAAGCTCAACCGTGGGATGTCCGTTGTCGATTCTGTCGAGATCCTCAAGGGCCGGAAGCCCACTGACGACGAATATTTCAAGGCTGCTCTTCTCGGCTGGGGTGTCGAGTTTGTGAGTCTCTTACGCTCGGTTTTCTTCCTATATATTCCTCTTTGCGTTCGCACCTCCGTTACCCGCACTCCTCGTGTCCATAAGACTTGTCCTTCCCAACTCAATAATCAGGCTCGCTTACGCATGGATGCTGACCGCAGGCTTCTCCCACAGCTTCAGGCGTACTACCTCGTCTCAGACAACATGATGGACCAGTCGATCACTCGTCGTGGACAACCATGCTGGTACCGCGTCGAGGGAGTGAACTTGCTTGCAATTAATGACGCGTATCTGCTCGAAGGCTCCATCTACTATCTCCTCAAGAAGCACTTCCGCTCCGAGCCGTACTACGTGTACCTCCTCGACGTTTTCCACGACACAACTTTCCAGACCGACATCGGGCAGCTTATTGACCTCATCACTGCTCCCGAGGACAACGTCGACCTAAGCAAATTCTCGCTTGACAAGTATGTAGTCTTCTTCATCTCCTTTGCGTGTACTAATATCCGTCTGCGTGTGTAGGCACCAGAAGATCGTCATCTTTAAGACCGCGTACTACTCCTTCTATCTCCCCGTCGCCCTCGCCATGTACATGTGTGGCATTCCCCACTCATCAACGAACGACCCCTACAAGCTCGCGCAGAAGATCCTTGTCCCGCTCGGTGAGTACTTCCAGGTCCAGGACGACTTCCTCGACTTCGCCGCACCTCCGGAGGTACTCGGTAAGGTTGGCACGGACATCATCGACCACAAGTGTTCATGGTGTGTTAACACGGCGCTCGCGATTGCGACGCCTGCACAACGGAAGGTCCTCGATGAGAACTACGGCGTGAAGGACAAGGCAGCCGAAGCGCGTGTGAAGGCACTATACGAGGAGATTGGCATTCGGATGAGGTACACTGAGTACGAAGAGGGCGCGTACAAGCGAATCATAGGTCTCATCGAGACTATCCCTACCGGAGGTGCAGACGTCAGCCCAGGTGACGTCAAGTTGAAGAGGGAAGTGTTCAAGGTGTTCCTCGATAAGATCTACAAGAGGCAGAAGTGAGTCCGCGCGGTCTTTGAGTAGGTCGAGAGCGAGGGCGGCAGCCAGAAGTGGACGTCAATTCTGTTGTACACAATATTTAGTCATGTTCCTCCCTTACGTTTTGAGTATGGATGTGGGAATATAACATCATGTTTTAGCTCAAATAGCTAAGTATATGAAATTAACAAAACCTGGAAAAATGGAACAAGGTGCCTAGCTGAAAGACGGCGGAAGCAATCATCTCCAAACCAAAGTGAGGTCATGAGGGAGAGTGTGGGGCAGTTGGGACACCCGCTTGTTCCAGACAGAACAACCTGGTTGCGGTGCTACAGACCTTGTTCCGCCAAAAACCCGGAATCAAGGGGCTTGATTCCAGTTTCCAGGGGATAGGTGTAGTAGTACCTGAAAGCATCGCATACTCGCTCTCCGTCGGACTTAAATATATGTATCATTCACGCCGCAACTCTAGTTTAATCTTGAGTGCATGGGAAGATTTTGAACGTCGTCTGCGATGGCGACTTAAGTTTACTTTCCAAGACGGCCCGAATTCTCCGTACGACCCAGACTACGACGTCTCCAAACTGAAAGGTAAGGCGCCGCCGCAGTTACCGCAAATGCTTGAAAACGGCATCAGTAGGGGTAGGCGCTTCGTTAACCAAACGATCGCCCAAATTCCCGAAGAAGATGAGGGGCTGGCGACCTATAAATCGCTTACGCCAAATCCTCGCCAAATACAAGCGTTCTTAAATGAGCGAAACTATGTAGTCACTCTAACCAACAAGAACTTGGGACTTGCGGTGTCTGAGTGAGACTGGTTAAATACGGAAACGTTAAAAATGCTTAATAACAAAAATGATTATAAACCCTATCCCCAAAAAACTGGCACCAAGGGGCTTGGTGCTAGGTTTTTGGTGGAACGAGGTCCGTGGAGCCATGACTAGGCCGTTTCACCTGGAACGAGCACCTGGCCCACGTGCCCCAGGGTCCTCCGCACACCCTCATCATGGTTTGGAGGCCGTTGCTGTCACTGTTCAAGAGCTATGGACCTCGTTCCATTTTTTGAGGTTTTGAAAATCTGACTATTTGGCAAATACCGATAGCTAGATGCTGGAACGAGGTGGAACGAGGTGGGTTTCTAGGTAGGTGCATCTCAGAGCTACCTAGAGCAGTTGAGAGCTAGTGAATAGCTGCTCTGGTTTGGGAGCTGTTAAGGCTGCAATGTGCCAGCTTAGGGTTAGGGTTAGGGTTAGGGAGGGAGATCGAAACCGAGCGAAGCGAGGTGAGATCGACCGTTGAGTCGAGGGTGGGTAGGGCGAGCTGAGTCAACGGGGGCGTTGTGTGCTACAACGACCCGTCCCGTTTCGCCTTTTATAGCTCATCAGGACTCTGCTTAGTGCATCCCTTTCGGGAAGTGCTTATCTCTTTGCCGTCTGTCTATCCGACGGCACAGGAGATAAGGTCAATTATGCTTACGATGCCGAACGCGGCCGGAGCTTTGTTCCGATAATGACTAAGTCCGATCGGACTATGTCATCATGATTACTTACTTACTAATCACCGATCGGACTTAATCTTATCGCATTTCTAAGCGCGTGTAGCGCTTAGATAAGATAGTCCGCCCTTATCCTTATCTTATCAAAGATGGAAGAGTGGAGACGCACCTGACTTGATGTCACGT